TTAAAAAATACGTTCCGTTTTTGTTAGTTTTTTTTTTTGCATCAAATTTCCCTTTTTTTTTTTGTTTTTTTTTTTTTTTTTTGAATTTACTTCTAATAAAATGTCCGGCATGAACAATAATAATGATAAAATTAATAATAATAATTGTGCCCGTTCAAAATCAGATGCAGCATTCAAATCGAAAAAGGTAAATCCACCACCAATTCGACCAGATTTGAAATATATTAATGCTGAAGATGAAGATCAAATGGTAAGTATTTTGTTTGTTTTTATGTAAAAAAATCCTTAATTAAATTCTTATCAATCAAAAAATGATTCCATAGGAAATCTATGGCTTTATGCCTAATACATTTAAAACTTTTCTAACATGGACTATAATCATTTTTACTTTTGGAATATTACGGCTTATTTTTCATTGGAAACCTCATTGGATGTTATACTGTACGCACAATCAATGTTCGCTTGAAAAAGCTAAAAAAGTTTTGCTTATTGTAAGTATTTTTTTTCAATGTATATCATCGAGATTTTTTATTTTAATAATAATTTCCAAACAAAAAAATAGGATCATTTTATGCAAAAATTTACCGAAAATGTTATGCATACTATGAATGATCAATTAATTTATCATCAAATTGGTAGCACAAATTCTTCATCATCATCATCCGGTTGTTCAGTCATACCGAAATCAAATGGTCAATTTGAAATGGTTGATTCGATCATATATTTTGAAAATAAAAAAGTTCGTTATGTTTGGGATAATGATTCAAAAGAATTTTATAAAGTACGTGGCTTGGACAAAGATATTAAATGTACATATTTTTATAATCAAAAAGGCCTGACTGCTTTAGAACAAAAACAAAGGTAAGAATCAAGTGAATCAGCATTCAATTCATTAATTAATTATAAAATTTGTTTAGGAGAAAAATCTACGGAATGAATGAAATTGAAGTAACAGTGCAAACTATTACGCAAATATTATTTCAAGAAGTGTTGGAACCATTTTATATATTTCAAGTATTTAGCCTAATTGTTTGGACATGTGATAGTTATTATTATTATGCAACATGTATTGTTGTTATGTCAGCATTATCACTTACATCTAGTGTTATACAAACTCGAAGAAATCAAAAACAATTACATGATACTGTTCAAGGTACCGATACGGTTAATGTTTGTCGAGCAAAAGAAGATTGTTATGAAAAAATTGAATCAACACAATTAGTTCCTGGTGATATTATTGAAGTACCATCATTTGGTTGTACAATGCAATGTGATGCTGTTTTGATTTCTGGTAATGTTATTGTTAATGAATCAATGCTTACTGGTAAGTGAAAAACAATATTTTATTTTATTTTATTTTATTCTGATTTTGACTTAAATCAAATTCCAGGTGAAAGTGTTCCAGTAACAAAAACACCATTACCAAGTACATCGTTACAAATGACCTATAATGCTAAAGAACATGCAAAACATACATTATTTTGTGGTACAAAAGTAATACAAACACGTTATTATAATAATGTTAAAGTTCGAGCTGTTGTTATTCGAATTGGTTATCAAACAGCCAAAGGTGAACTGGTTCGTTCGATAATGTTTCCAAAACCGGTGGATTTTAAATTAAATCGTCATATACATAAATTTGTTGGATTTTTAGCAATGATGGCCTTAGTTGGTTTTATTTATACGGTCGTTTTGAAAACACAACGTGGTGTTAATTGGCAAAGTATTGTGATCAAAGCATTGGATTTGATTACGATTGTAATACCACCAGCTTTACCGGCTGCAATGACTATTGGCGTAGTGTTTGCTCAATCACGTTTACGTGAATCGGAAATATTTTGTATTTCACCACGTTCGATCAACATTAGTGGCTGTATTAATTGTGTTTGTTTTGATAAAACTGGAACATTAACCGAAGATGATTTAAGTTTTTCTGAAATTGTTCCAATAAATAATTCGTTGAATCAATTTGGCAAACCAATCACCGATTTGGTTAACGATCTTGAATGTGGCCCTTTGTTGATCAGTCTTGCATCCTGTCATTCGTTAACATTGATTGAAGGAAAAATGATTGGCGATCCTTTGGATCAAAAAATGTTCGAAGCTACTGGATGGGTATTAGAAGAACCAGAAGTAAATGATAGTTCCAAATATGATTTATTGGCTCCAAGTGTAGTTCGTCCTAAAATTGATTATGAAAACAAAGAAGTCGGTATCATTCGACAATTTCCATTTTCATCAAGTCTTCAACGAATGAGTGTTGTTGTACGACAAATTAATGGAACTCGATTTGAATTATATGCAAAAGGTTCACCTGAAATGATTGCTTCGTTATGTGATCCAACTACATTACCATCCGATTATACAACAACGCTTCAAGAATATACTGAAAAAGGATATCGTGTTTTAGGACTTGCTTATCGACCACTTACATCATTAAATTATCATAAAATGCAACGAGCATCACGAGAAGATTTGGAAAAAAATCTAACATTTCTTGGTTTGTTGGTCATGGGTAATATGTTGAAATCCGAAACAACCGATGTTATTGAAACATTGATTAGAGCCAACATTCGAACTGTTATGGTAACTGGTGATAATATGTTGACAGCTTTAAGCGTTGCACGTGAATGTTCAATGATACAACCATGGCATAAAGTAATTCTATTGGAAATTGATCCAGAAACTGTGAATGCTGATTGTCCGAAACTTCATTGGAAATTTGCTAACGCTGCACATATTTCCGATTCTGTTAATTATAAATTATCAGCATTGAATGAACGTGAAAAAACACATGTTGCTGTCAGTGGAAAAACATTTCATATTTTACGTGAACATTATCCAGATGTATTGAAAAGAGTTGCTGTTCGTGGTACAGTGTTTGCACGTATGTCACCGGAACAAAAACAATTTCTAATTGAATTGTTACAAGAAATTGGCTATTATGTTGGAATGTGTGGCGATGGTGCTAATGATTGTGGTGCACTCAAAGCAGGTATTTTATCCAACAACAACAACAAAAAAAAAATTTTTTGGACATTTTTTTTCAAAAAAATATCTTGTAATTTCTTCTACAGCTCATGCAGGCGTTTCATTATCCGAAACTGAAGCATCGGTTGCATCACCATTTACATCGAAAAGGCCAAATATTTCTTGTATTCCAACTTTGATACGAGAAGGTCGTGCATCAATTGTTACTGCTTTCGGTATTCTTAAATATATGGCTTGTTATAGTCTTACTCAATTTATTTCTGTGATAATTCTTTATACGGTTTGTTATATTAAAAAAAATGTGTATTTTTCTTAAATCTGATTGGTTTTTTTTCAAAAAAAATTTTTACAGTTTTATTCAAATTTAACCGACAAAGAATTCCTTTATATCGATCTATTTTTAATAACACTTTTTGTCATGTTATGTACGTATCATTATTAACAAATTGGTATTCTTGAATTGAATTTTTTTTAACAATTTTAAATTTATTACAGTTGGTCGAAATAGAGCATTTAAACGATTGGATCGTGATCCACCGCCTTCATCATTAATTGGATTAACGCCATTAGCTTCGATTGTATTACAAATCATTTTAGTCACTATAATGCAAGTATTGTCAATAATAATTGTTAAACAAGAACCATGGTATCAACCACATGTTACAAACAATAATGATGATGATCTAGCAAGTCATGATAATTATGCTTTATTCGCTTCATCTGTATTTCAATATATTACATTGGCTGTTGTTTTTTCTAAAGGCAAACCATATCGACAGCCTTTATATACGAATCGTAATTATTTTTCATATCTGAAAAATTATTTTGTTTTATAATGATTAATTTTTTTTTAAATTCTATTAGAATTATTTCTTCTTTCGCTTATTGTAATGACAATTCTAACTGTAGTGTTGGTCGTCTATCCACCGGCATTTATAGCCAATTTTTTTGAACTTTATATGAAACATGTAACTTTGGAATTTAGAATTACAATGATACTTCTTGCATTGGCACATTTCATTTTGGCTATATTTTTAGAGGTAAATTTTTTTTAATAATCCATTAGAATTCAATTATTAATTTGATTTTCGATCCAGGTGATTGTTGTGGATTACTTTTTATTTAAAAAATCTTCACATTGGTTCAAATCTTTGAATAAATCATCGGAATCATCATCATTATATAAAACATTAGATAAAGAAACAAATAAAAATACATTATGGTTACCACCTTATTCATTCGAAAAAACAATTGAAAAAACAGATTCAAATGGTATGATTTCATCAAAAGATTCATTGAATACAGAAAAATCTACACAATCTAATACAAATCTATTGCAAAATGGTGATCATCATTTTCATGGATCTTATTTACAAGTTTAATGCTATTTCTTTATTTGTTGAGCTTGTTTTTTTTTTCTAAATTTTTTAAATTATTATATAAACATTCGATCCATCCAAATGATATTACCCTATACAAAAAAAAAATCGTTTATTATTAATTGTAATTTTGAAATTTTATTTATTTTCTAAAAAGCTAAATGATATTATTCTACTAATTGTTCAAAATTTCTTTTACATTAATTAATTCTTCAACACAATCACTTTGGACAAATTTACTAAATAAATAAAAATTATACCAGTTTAATAATTTAATTAAAAAAATTTTATCCTTTTTAAAAAAAAAAAAAAAAACAAACAAATGCGACATCATTATTTTGCAAAACAATTTCAATCAAAACAAATAATAATTGCATTAATTTGAAGCTGATGATACAACTAATTTTTTAAGATGTTCCATAAATAATTCAAAAGAAACATCATCGGTCAAGACAGGAGCTTGAGCACGATCACCATAGAAACCGGCTGCAGAATTATGTGTTAGTGATGGATTTACTTTTGACAATAAAAATCGTGCTTGCGATGATCCTTGATCGCAAACAATATATCTAGGCAACGGGAATCGATTTAACATTAAATCTTGAGCATCTTTAACCGGTGCTGCAAGTAATTGAGCAAAAGCTTCATATCCAGATTGTTCATGATATTTGGCATTACGCCAAGCAGCAATAGTTTCACCATGAAATATAACAATTTGAAAGAATGTATCCATCATTAGAATTCGTTCTGGATGAATACTTGATGTATCTAACATTACTGGTTGTGTTGGTTCATTGAAAGAATATGCAAGTAAAGTTGGCTGTATCATTACCAATGAATTATAGGTATCTTCACGAAATAATGAATGACGATAAAATGATGTTTCATCGGGAGAATTGTTAAAAACTTGTATAAATTGTGATCGACGTAGATGAAATATAAATTGTGGAAACATACTAAACAATGGACCTAATCGAAAACTTTCTGGTGATTCTTTGTTATATTCACCAAAACGTTGACAAAGACGTATCAAATTTCTATCCAACCAACGAAGAACATCTGGCCCATTAGCTTCGGTTTGTGCCCGATGACATGCTAAACGTGCCAATAAAACGCAAGCACTTTCTTGATCGAATGCAAAATCAGTATTGCTAAATTCTCGTCCAACTGTCGTTACGCGTACATGGCGATATCCATCTATTCCTTGATATTGTGTAACAAATTGAATGAATCCATATTGTTGCTGATTGGTTGCCTGTGTTTGTACAATATCGAAATAAAATGAAGTTGTCGAACTTGAAGTAAGTGAACAAAATTTCCATTGTGCAGTATTTCCGATTCCGATTTCTGTATCCGAAACATATTGATTTCGAACATTCATCGAAACACACGAACCAATACAACCGGAAACTTTCAATTCACGTGATGTTTTTATTTCAACAACAGCATTAAAAGCCATTTTTAATCGATCTTCTTTATCTTTGGCAAACACACGTGATAATGATAATTTAAATAAATTCGAATCAAATGAATCGCACATTATCATTAGACCACCAGTTGAATTAACACAATATTTCATTTCATGTAAACCAGTTTGATCAAGTGCACATGAATAGATATCGATTGTATGGCCATTAACAGCAGCTCGTTGTGCTAATGCTTGATAATGTTTCATTGCTTTTTTCATATATTTACAATTATCTTTTTCAATATCATGATGTGAACGAATAGTATTTTTAAGATCATCATCGATAATCATTCCAGGACCAGTAGTACATGGTCCACCAATGAACATCATTATTCGTGCACCACAATTTGGATATGTTATTTCTAACAGGCTGATAGCGATTGATAAAGCAGCTCCAGTAGCTCGAAGTGGACGTTTTGCCTGTGGAGTTGGCCATGAATCGCGTGTTATCTGATTGATAATATCATTTAGAATAAAATCTGCTTGTGAAATTGGTTGAAGAAATTTATGTGCCATATTTGTTTTGTTGACATTTATTGGCGAATTAGGATGCTGTTGCATTGGTTGCGGAGTTTGTTGTACAGCATTTCGAATACCCAACCATTCTTGTAATTGTTTAGCTGTATAATCTTTGCTTCCTTTGAATACAAACGATCGTAAATTTGTATTGATTTCCCATAGACTAACAATTCGACCGAATGTAATCAAACATGCTAATGAATTGGGTGGTAATAATTTCAATGAACTTAGTATGGAACTTTTCAATGCATTCAATTCTTCTTCATCGATACAGGTATCGATAACGTAAACGAAAATTGGTGGCGTACTGATTGGTGCTCGCAATATAACATAGTCAACAGTAGAATGGCCCAATTCGGCTGGTTTATATGTTTCAGTTATTTGATGATAATGATTTGGAAATGAATTTCGATTCAAACAAAATGGACAAACCCAAATTTTAGCACGATAATCCACCTAATGTAAATAAATTTTTCCGATCAATTTTAATACGATTATATTTGCATATAAAACACAAACCTGACAATAAGGATTCAAAATGGATCGACAATTAGGACGTGCACAAACAACCGGTTCATATTGAAGCGAAGATGGTGCAGCAGCAGAATCACGTTGAGTTTCTTTCAATGGTGTAAATAAACAACCTAATGGAAGTACAACTTTGGCAGCTTCAACTCTAGTTTGTGGCCAACGATTCCAATTGAACCGGATACCATCACGATCTTCCATCGATTCAATATATTCTTCCATGATGTATCAATGATTTTCAATCTTGTGAAAAGCGGTATTTGTCGCTTATTGCGGCTTGATGAAGATGAATGAAGAAGAAGAAAACGACAACGAAACAAAAATGTATCGAAAAAAATCTGCTACACGTCACCTTATTGTTTTTTTTTCGATAATGTTGCCATCTATTGTTCAATATTTTTGTAATTTATTTTTTAAAAAAAATTATTAATTTTTTTTTGTTTTTAATTTTTTTAAATTTATTAATTTAAAAAATTAAACAAATAATTTCAAAATGAATGAAAATTTCAACATTTGATTGGTTTTATTGTAATCAAGAGGTTATTATTAGAATATGGAATTATTGCTTTATCATAGTGATGGAAAAACATTAACACCTTTTGGCATTTTAACCGGAACATTTAATGATATTTATGATATTTATTCATTATTAAATAATATTCGACAATTACAACAACAAGCAATTCAACCGAAAAATAATCCAAACAGATTAAATTGGTTAAATTATTCACCTGAAGATCAATTACTTACAAATCATTATAATTATTTAATGGAAACACATTCATTTTCAACAAAAGAATCAAATATATTAATTTTGGCTGAAAATAATAATACCGAAATCTATGTATTCGATGAAACATATCATGGTTTTACATTTAAACGTCCATCATTTTTACAATTAAAAGGTTCATTATCACATATGTTTATAATAGCGGAAAATTCAATCGAATTAATTGATGGTGTGATTGAAGAACAAATCTGTTTGGATCCAAAACTAAATTGTTGTACGATTGAAGTTATTAATGGATCATTATTAGTGTTTATTTGTGATTATCAAACATTTTATATATTACCAACTATTGATTGTCATTATAAAATGAAAATTCCTGTTATCGATCATGGTAATGATAATGATGATGGTAATAATCATAATAATGATGGACAATGTTCAATCAATACAAACAATATCAACAAAGATGATGATTATTTAAAAAATCATAGTAAATTATTGAAAATGATTAATATTAGACAAAACTTTTGATTATAAGATGAATAAATTCATTCGAATTATTTCTTTTTTATCGATTTGTGTTTCTTCGATTCATGTTTTTTATGATTTTCTTTTTTTCTTATTTTCTTATGTCTTTTTGAGTGATGATCATCATCATCATCTGACGACGACGACGACGACGACGACGATGATGATGAACACGATGATGATGAAGAATCTGATTCTAAGGATGATGATGACGAAGATTTTTGCTGTCGATGTTTATGACGTGAAATTGTTTTTTCTTTCTTTTTTCTCGATGAAGATGATCGTTTCTTTTTTCGTTTTTTTCCACAATGTTTATCTTCAGATTTTAATAATGCTTTTAACATTTCTACTTTTTTAATTTTATCACGTAATTCTTGTTCTTTAATATAATTATACATTGGATCTTCATGTGCATGACGAAATTCTTCCATTGCACGATTACCGGACATAAATAATGGACATTCTTTATCACCACTACGATGTCCATATATTTTACAACGCCAACATTTCATTACTTTTACTTCTTTACCTAATGGCATCCATAAACCTTTGGTTGGAGCTTTTGCTAAAAATTCCCTGGCAGCTTGATTTTCTGGTCTATCCGGTATAGAATCTTCTGGTTTTTCTTCATCATCCTCTTTAATTAGTCCAGGTGGAGGCTGTTCATAGCTATATAGAATCAAAATCAATAATCAAAAAAAAAAAATCTTAAATCAAATTGATCCACATGTATATAAAAATCATTCATACAAAGAATCATAATGTTTTATAGTGTCGAGTAATTTTTCATCAATTTTCGATGATTTCTTTTTCGTCAATTTTGTTTCGGACATTCTTTTTTTTCAATTCCAAATAAAAAAAAATCATTAAAACAAACGAATTATCGAATTAATAAAATCCAAAATATATTCGATAAATTCGATGTAAACAACACAAAAAATGAAAAAAATTATTATCGATAGATGGCAATGCTATTCGATTCCGCCCACATCGAATCATCAATGCTGTCATTTATAATTAGAATTTCATTTTTTCATTGATAATTTTAATCTTACCATTTTCTTTTTATTTCAATGTCTTTAGAATCTAACGTTACTTTGATGAATAATAGTATTATTGATCCGAAAGTAAACGATAAATTTACTAAATGAAATAATTAAAATTAAAATCTTTTTTTTCCTTTCTTAAAGTTTCAATCAATCGAACTGGCTCCAATGAATATTCATGATGATGTAGAGCCGATTGTACAACCATCAAATCAAAATGGAAAAGATTCTAATCGAAAACGTAAAGTTCGTCGGCCTCTTGCTCAACAAAATGATTCATCTGTAATGATTTCGGGCCAAAGTCCTCAACGTTTAATTGAAAATGAACAAATTCAACAGCCAACAAACGAAGCTCGAGCATCTCGTGGCATTGTTGATAATGAAAATCTTCCACACCGATTATTCGAAATTGATGCAAATAATGGTAATAATGATGATAATGACAATGATGATGATGATGATGATGTTGAGCATGATGAAGAACTTAAATATGGTGCCAAACATGTCATCAAATTATTCATACCGGTATCATTGTGTATGTTAGTGGTGGTTGCTACAATGAATACAATAACATCGTATAGATCAACAAATGTTTATATGATTTATACTCCATTTACTGATCAAAATGTAGCACCAACAACCAAAATATGGCAATCATTTGCCAATGCTTTCATTCTTCTTGCAGTGATTATCGTAATGACAACCGTATTGATTGTTTTATATAAATTTCGTTGTTACAAAGTAATTCATGGATGGTTGGTAATGTCTTCATTGATGCTTTTGTTTCTATTCACATTTATGTATTTGAATGAAGTTTTACGCGCTTATAACATTCCTGTTGATGTTTTTACAATATTTTTTTTCTTATGGAATTTTGGTGTTGTTGGAATGATTTGTATTCATTGGAAAGGACCATTAATACTTCAACAAGGATATTTGATTATGATTTCAGCATTAATGGCATTGGTATTTATAAAATTTTTACCAGATTGGACAGTTTGGGTTGTACTTGGTGTTATATCGGTTTGGGATTTGGTTGCTGTATTATGTCCAAATGGACCATTAAGAATTTTAGTCGAAACTGCACAGGAACGTAATGAATCAATATTTCCTGCTTTGATATATTCATCAGCAGTTGCCTATACGGTTGGTACGATGGCTGATGTTGAAAATCATCCACCACCACCACCACCTTCATCACATAATGATCATCATAGTTCTACAGCAAGAAGAAATCAACCATCAACATCCGAATCATCACAACAATTAAATCAATCATCCACCGAACAACAATACAATATTCATAATAATTCATCAAATGGATTTAGAAGTGATAGTGAAGATGATGAAGAAGAACGTGGTGTTAAACTTGGTTTAGGTGATTTTATATTCTATTCAGTATTGGTTGGTAAAGCATCATCATATGGTGATTGGAATACAACATTATCTTGTTTTGTTGCCATACTTATCGGACTTTGTTTAACATTATTATTATTGGCTATTTTTCGTAAAGCATTACCAGCATTACCAATTTCAATAGCATTTGGTTTGATATTTTATTTTTCAACATCAACATTGGTACAACCATTTTCTGATTCACTACAAGATTCTTTAATTTATATTTGATTAATTTTGATCAATTTATTTAGCAAAAAACAACAGAAAACAACAACAATAATCTTTATTTATCACAAACAAGTCAGGTTGATTTCATTCAATGATTTACAAACAAAAATTTGAATAAAAAACATGTTTTTCATATCAAAATCATTTTTCAAAATTGTTTTGTTTTTGTTTTTTCTAGATTAATTTTTACTACTACTACCATTCTGTTCTAATGATTGTCGTTTAACTTTATAATTTTTAATTGCAGCTTTTATAGCATCTTCGGCCAACATTGAACAATGCAATTTAACCGGCGGTAATGATAATTCTTTTGCAATATTAGTATTTTTTATCTGTAATGCTTCATCGATTGTTTTTCCTTTGATCATTTCGGTGGCTAATGAACTGGATGCAATTGCCGAACCACAACCAAACGTTTTAAATCTTGCATCAATAATTTTACCATTTTCATCAATTTTTACTTGTAATTTCATTACATCACCACATGCCGGTGCACCAACCAATCCAGTACCAACATCTTTATCATTTTTATCCAATGAACCGACATTTCTGGGATTTTCATAATGATCAATCACTTTTTCATGATATAATCGTGATGATGATGGTGTCAACAATATTTTTGTGATTATCGATGATTGTTTGAAAAAAATTTGCTTCGACATTGCGTTCAACAAAAATGTCTTTGACAAAAATGGATTGAATATTTTGTTGATGATTATATAAAGAATCTTTTTTAGTCGATCGACGCAATTTTCAGAATTTTTTTTTTCGTTTCATTCAATTCGGATTTGTTTTTGGTTGTGATTATTGTTATGATGATGGCGGTGGTGGTAGTGGTTAAATCGCACAACAAGGTTGCCCAAAAAATAACATTCATTTTGGATTTTATTACCACCATCACCCAAATAATCGATAGTATCGGTGACAGATATTCGAATGTTTAATGTTCAATAATCAGATGTTTGAGAAAATTATTAACTTTTTTTTAGAAAATATTAATTTTTTTTAAATAAATAAATAAAATGAATTCAACACCAACTGCAAATGATTCAAAAATGATTCCATCATTATCAAATAAATTGTTACAAATAATGAACGATGATGATATTATGAAAAGAAAATTAATGATCGATGGTGATGGTATTGGTGATGATCGTAAAATAACTAATTTAATTAAACAATTTATATTATGGTGTTATAATGATAATGAATCTGAATTAGAATGTGAATTATCAGCGGAACGTTTATTGAATGTAATTGATCAATCAGAATTGGCAATGGCTAAATCAGTTCAAACAATAAAAATGATAACCAATGAACTTGATAATTATGAAAATATGTATAAAAATATTGAAAAATCTATTCAAGATGCACGTGAAAAATTATCCGTATGTAAAGCTGAATTAGCACATGCTAAACAAATTCGTCGATATAAACTTGATTATGATAATATTGCACAAATTATTGAACAACATCCAAGTACACAGGAAACACAAATCAAATTAAATGTTTTGGAAAATGAAATACAAACATTACAAAAGATTAATAATCAAATTGAATCGAAATTAGAAAAACGAAGACGTCAATTTCAATTGTTATTATCGGCATCACATCAATTACAAAATGTTTTGGATGAAGAAAACAATGTTCAAAATTCGGATACAACATTACTGGCTGATAATAATAATCACCATGGACAACAACAACATGCGCTGGATGATGATAATCTACAATCATCATCAACAACAACAACAAAAGAACCAATTTCAATGGAAACTAATTGATTTTGTTTTAATCTTTCTTATAAATCTACTTATCATCAAATTAATTGAATAAATATTTGAATATTTAAAATCTTAAATCATTATTTTTGCCTGGTGATTCTATTTTTTTTTTCTTTACAGAATAAAAATGAATGATTCAAGATGGCGTTTCTGTTTGTTTTTTACATGTGAAAAAATTTTTATCACATTCATTCACGGTTTGTTTGGTGGTATTCCACGTTTTTTTTCCTACTTTTTTACGATTTTTTGGTAGCGAAAACAAAATATCGAAAACTAAAAATCTTTCAATCGCATCATATGTATCTGGTTAGCTGATTCGAAATTCCATATTTGTCATTATTATTTCAATAATGATGACATTTTTTTCTGTTATCATCTGAAAAAAACGAATAAGATTGTATCTTTTCATTCAGTTTTGAGCCATTTCTAAAATAAACACACACACCAAAAATCAGTTCATATAATTTGATTATGATTGATTGATAAATCAGCTTTCTGTTTCTGTTGTTATTATAGTGAAAGAAAAACTTTGAAATTGATATTGGCGATAATCAACGTTTATTTTATTTTTTTCTGATCTAATTTCACCGAAACACCGAATTTTGTTTTCATTTCTGGGTTACCCGCGCAATACGCATACTCATTTCGAATTTTGCCACTGTTCATTAATGATCTTCGAATCGAATCAAATCGAAAAATGAAACAAATAATCNTGATTTTATCGATTATCAAATTTATATTTCAATTTCCATTCAATTTCAAAGCATGGTTACGTATGCGACGTCAAGATCCACCAACAATCGAAGAATCAATGCGAAATTTACAACGAATCAAAAAATTTCAATCACAACAAAAATCATCATCCGAAACAAAAATAGATCCAGAATCAACAGTGTTTCCAAAATTTGATGAATATGAACAAAGTCCTGGATCAAAATATAAACCATAGGATTTTTTTTAAAAAAAAAACATTGAAAAAAATTTATTTGTATAGCAATAATAAAAGAGGATGATGATTGACACAAAATTTGTAAAAGAAATGAAGATCAAAGAAGATGTTTTCACAAATTTCTTCCTCACTCAAAATATTCATTTATCTTTTTTAGCTTTTTTTGCTTGCATTTTAATCTTTTCAATTGATTTGATTCGTTTTTTCTGTTGATCAATTGAACGTGCTAATCGTAATGATAAATATGCACTTAATGCAAACAATGGTGTTACAATCAATAAAATTAATATAATGAAATTTGATGTATTTTCAATGGCATATTTGGAAATGATTGCCAAATATTCTTCCAATAACTAAAAAAATGTTGTTGTTTTGTTTTCAACAACAAAAAAAAAGAAGAAGGGAAGAGAAAAATCAATCAACAATCACATCACATACCTGAAACATTTTGATTGATTGATTGGTCCTTTTTTTTATTTCTAAATCAAAAACCGATAATGTTTTGGAATGTTTTTTTTTTTGCTTGAAAAAAATACTGGTTGTCGATCGGATTGAAATTGAAATCGGTTTGTTTTCGCTTTTCTCATGTTTATCTCTCTCTCTCGCATAAACAAATCCTATAGTGACATCTAGTGATGGAAAAATTCAACCATATTTAATTTTTAATTTTCTTTTTATAATCAAACCACGAATTAAACGTTTCCAATTTTCCATTATACGTTTTAAACATTTTTCACGTTCTCTTTCTCTTTGTAATTTTTGATCTTGTTGCCATGCATCAATTAATATATCTTTATATTCTTTACAAACAACATAACCATCTAAAACTGGATGTGAGCTACAAGTACCTTCAAAACCAACAATAGCCGGTACACAATCAATTTTTAAACGATTTGCTAAACGTAATAACCCGGGTAATTGTAAATGAACAGTACCAATAGGTAACATTGATTTTTTAAATAAATCAACATTTCCATAATTATTACGTGGAACTTGACCATTTCGAGCGATTGGTGGTTCAAATGGTTGTGTTTGCCATTCACCATAAACGCCAATCATTTCTTTTTCCGGTTGTTCACCTGGGTTAACTTTCCATTTAAATCTTGATTGAACAATTTTATATGGTTGTTCATCGGGTTTAACTGTACGTGCATCACGTAACCATGTTTCCCTTGATTTAAGTATATGTACACAATTTCTTGAATAAACAGGTTGATTACGGAAAAAACCTAATGGTGGTGAATCTGGTGGATATATGGCCTGATATTTTAATAAATCTTTTTCCAAAACAAATAATGGATGATTCTTATAATCAGACAATTTTTTTGGTAATTCTATTTGCTGAGAAATTTTTTCAAATTCCAAATTATCAGCCTCTTTATAACGGGTATGTTTTCCATTATTATCAAAAATATTCAATGTTTCCTCCAGCCAACCATCCGTCAAACGACGTTTACGTATTTGATTCGAATGCCAATCTTGTACATAACGTGCAGTTATTTCCGAAATATTTCCATCATTATCAATTGCAAAAATATATGTTGGTTGTTTTATTGGGAAATTTTCCGAAATTTTTTTCGGTTTATCATAAATCCTATGTGGATGATAATCATAACAAATCCAACGATTATGATCATTATCGAATATTTCGATCCAGTAAAATTCTTTTGTTGTTGTTGTCTCATCATTTTCAGTAGATTTTGATTTTGATTTAGTAACGACAGAATCATTGCTGCTGCTGCTGGTTGACAATAAATTCATCGGTGGTTTTATCGGTAACGCATCGATTAGATAACATAATCGAACCATTTGATTTGACATTCGTAATATCGATATTATCATCAGATTTATAATTAAATTATATTCGATTTTTTTTTGTTCAAAACTTTTTAAAAGTTCCTGATATAAATCAATACTGTAATCATGTTTTTCCAATATGGTTATATTGAAATTTTTGGAAAATTTTGTAATAAAAATACCAATATATTTTTCTAATGATAAATTCTTTTCATCTGCAGGCACCAAATAATTCATTGATAATGCTAATGATTTTATCAATGGATCTTGTATTAATGAATTTAAATATTGAATACGATTAATGGCAAACAGAATTGAACATTTATGTTGAATTAATTGATTTTCTTTACGCATACGATTGATTTGTTGACGAATTTCGGCCTGTATTTGATCAATGGGATTCTTTGTTTTCTTACCCAATTGATTCATTGATATTTGAATTTTTTCCGGTAATTTTGGTTGATAAATTTCTGGATCGAATATTTTTGCTTCTTCAACTTCTTCCCAATCATCATTCGAATCATCGGAATCGTTATCATCGTCATTTTCGACTTTCTTTTTCAACATTTTCTTCTTCTTTTCATTCAATTTTTTATCGTTTTTATCAATCTTTTTTCTCGTATCCGACGTTGATGATATTTTAATTTTCTTGTTGGAAATTCTTTTCTTGGTCGATGATCCATCATCATCATCACTGGTTCTAGAATCATCATCACCATCATCATCGACAAAATATTTACTTCGAACCACCGTTGTTGATTTACGTTTTGGTCGTAACATTTTTCGAACGTTCGAAAACCAAAACAAAATTCAATACACCGGCCGAACTAAACAAAACGTGATGTTTTGTTTTGACGCGCATGCTCACAAATAACAGAAAAAAAAGTTCAAAAATAACAAGATTTTAGTTTTTTAAAATTTCAGAATTTTGTGTTTTTGCAAAAATCAATCAATTCAATTCATTCATCAATCAATATGTTTATATTGTAAATATTTTCCATTAATTGTTATTACAATTCGATCTTCTTTACCATTATCGATTGTTGATGTTTGTTTATCCAAATGAACTGTACAATCAATTGCCGACATTATACCATCACCAAATTCTTCTTTAATCAATGTTTTCAATGAATCACCATAAACATCAAGAAATTCTTGTAATCTTCGAATGACTGGATCACTGGTTACTGAAGTGTTGACCAAACCACGACAATCCGGTATTGAACCAAGTGTTTGAATAAGATTTTCAATTTTATAATTACCGGAATCTTTTATGTTAAGAATTTTTATCAATTCTTTGGATAAATTTTCATTGATTGGATGTTGTCCAAGTATAGCCGATGTTAGCCATACCTAAATCAAAGTAAAGAAAAGAAGAAAAATCCAATGTTATTATTATTCAAATCAATGAAAAATTTAAAACTCACCTTATTGACATTGAGCTTAGTGGCTAGATCAGCAAATTTTAGATTCGATTTACGTTTAGCATCTAGCAGAATCTTTGTGGCCAAATATTTCGGTAAAAAATTTGTTGTTGTTGAATTGTAACGTAAAAAGTTACGAATCAAAAATGATGATAAATTTCGATTCATTTTCGGTGATTCAATATTCTTCCTCTTTCCAAATGAGAATTTCATTTGTGAATAGATCATTGAAATGAAATGCGCAAGCGCATTTCGGGCATTCTGAGCACACAAAGCATTCCATTTTTTTTTCTTTTGGCAAAGCCAATTCAATCCGCCATTCGATTTTTGGGTTGGTTCATTGTTTTTTTTGTTTTGTTGTTGTGGATTCCATCATTAATTTGATAACGATAACCAATCGATCGATCAATCAATCAATCAATTAATCAATGATGGCTCGTGGTTTCCGTAGCTGGAATCCTGATTGTAAAGTATATGTTGGTAATCTTCAAGATAATTGTCTGAAAACTGATGTTGAAAATGCATTTTCAAAATTTGGACCATTAAAAAATGTTTGGGTTGCTAGAAATCCACCTGGTTTTGCATTTGTTGAATTTGAAGATAGTCGTGATGCTGAAGATTCGGTTCGTGCATTAGATGGAACGTAAGTGTTGTATTTAAATTTGTTTAATGATTGATCAAAATTATTCTTCATTATCTTTGCCTTAAGTCGAATTGGTGGTAATCGAGTTCGTGTTGAAATGTCTCATGGACGTAGTCGAAGAGGTGGCGGTGGTCGCCGTTTTGGTGGTGGCCCTGGACCAGGTTTTGATCGCGGCGGTGGTGGTGGTGGTGTTGATCGCTATGGTGGACCAAGGTAATCATCAACAAGATTTTTTTTCAACCCCCAATTCCTAAACATTTATAAATTAATAATTACAGTATTCGAAACAATAGACGTGATTTTAGACGACGAAGTATTTCACGATCTCGTTCAAGGTATTTATATATTTTTTGTTTTGTTTTGTTTTACTAATATATAGTGAGAAAAAAAATTATGAAAATTAACAAAACAAAGCTGCTGCTGCTGCTAATCAAATTATTGAATAATTCGCTATAGTTTTCAGGGTTATTTTCATTTAATAATCCAATTCATTACAATTAGTGTTCGCATATTTGTTTTTCTTCTATAATTTTTTATTTATTATTTCTTTTCTTGTTTTCTTTGCACATTATTTTTTTTTTGCCATTTTTTTATATATCCTTTTTATACGCCAAAAAAAATGAAAAAAATTTTAGGTGATATCACCTAATATTACCCTTCTACTACTACTACTTGCATCTATTACTACCTACACATCAGTATTCTCCTTGATTATTGTTGAACTACGGTATTTAACTGAAAATGAAATAAAATAATGATGCGGACAACGGTCAGCCGCCGATGACCGCCAGTTTTTTCGTCAGCATGCATCTTTATATCCTATTCATCGCATCGATGTGTGTGCGTGGGATAATATCTATTCTTTCTGAATAGGATTCCCTTCGATCCGTATGATAATAATATTCGGTTCGTCTTTCTATCATCATCATTGTTATTGTTGTTTTTTTAAAAATGCATCGTATTTTTCTTCGAAAAAAACATTAAGTATATTATATTGATAATTTTAAAAATATCTGAAATTAAGGAAAAAACCAATCCAAAAAAAAATCTAATTTTTTAGAGCACTTTTCGGTATCCCAAAAACATACATAAAACATCTTTATAACTGAATTGAATAATGATGTGATGAAAATGCGCGTAAAACGATCATCATCCTAAAAATCATTTAAAATTTCCTCGAAACATATGACTTGATATTTTTTTCCGATTTTAAATATTCGAATAACATCAGTGCAGAACAACAAAACAAACAAAAAACTTCGACCCATTCTATCTCTTCGATCATTTTTTGAATAGAATTACGACCGACGAGAAATTTACCACCACAAAAAACTTCGATACTTCGATATTTGTTCAAGAAAAAAGGTTTTTTCATTCATTGAACATCTCATTATTATTCTTCTTCATTCATAAATATCGGTATAGTACAAAAAAAAAATCAAAGATGAGATGTGTTTTTGAATTTTCAAAACAAAAAATAATCAATATCCATAACATAATTTCCACCTTTATAATGATAATTCCCTTAAAAAATCATAGTTAAAAAAAAATTCTCTTTTTTGATGATATTTGTTTCTTGTTTGTTCATTGGTAGGTCACCACCAAGACGACGATATTCAAGCCGTACACCAAGCCGATCTCGTTCACGTTCACGTTCAACATCACGTAATCGGCCAAGAACTCCACCATCTCGTTCACCATCACGTGAAAGACGATAAATGATGATCTTTGGACATATAAAGACAAATCTTTTCTTAAACCATGGGCCAATAAATCATTGAAATCATCATCATCACAAGACATTACATAACATTTTTTGTTCACGAATTAGATTTACACTGGAAATTAGACCATTTTCCATTAGTTTTTTTTCTTCATTATTTTTCTTCATTTTTGTTTTTTAACACAAAAAAAATCCTAATTATTTGGTATATACCAATGTACGTTTGAACATTGACATAATTTTTTTCTTCATATTTTTCATTATTTTCAGTTTTTAACAACAAAAAATAGAGTGGGAATAATAAATGAAATTTTTTTTGTTTCGGTTTTTAAAAAATTTTTAAATTTACGCGCGCTTAGTTACGATAACCGTTCATAGATGTCGTGTTGAGTTTATTTTGCATCAAAAATAAAGAATTGTTTGTTTATAATGATCATTTGATCCACCATTCAGAGAAATGTTTTCATTCGGTTATTCTTTCGATAAATTGTATCCGATAATTTTAATGATATTATTATTTTATGGCCAATCATCGATAATATCGGCAGAAAAATCGATAAACATTTTGAAAAATAATTCCAAATCAGAATTGGAACAGCATCCAAAATCATCATCGAACAACGTTGACAATATTAATTGGTGTGAAATATCATTTTGTCCGGATAAAAATTATGGACCACAATCACCATATATCCCTTGTGATCATTTACCAATGGATTTTATTGAATGTGATGAATTAATTGATCATCAAAATAATGAAACATCATTCAAACAATCAGGTAATATTGGTTGTCTTGAATTTCAAGGTGGACAACATGGTATGTTTATTCATTTGGCTAAACTGGATTGAACATTAATTAACCCTTTTTTCAATCAATTCAGGAATCTATTTTGGCTCAACATATTGTCATGCTCTAAGTTTTATCGAATGTTATGGTAATCGAACATTCATACGTAAAGGATTACCATGTGTTCGTTATAATGGTCATTATTTTATAACTGCATTATTGTTTTCAGTTTTATTGGGTTTTCTTGGTATGGATCGATTTTATCTTGGTCATATTGGTACGGCAATTGGTAAATTATTAACAATCGGTGGTGTTGGTATTTGGTGGATTGTCGATATTATTCTATTGATAACCGGTAATCTAATGCCTGAAGATGGTAGTAATTGGATGCCTTTTGTTTGAATGAAAAAAATAGTTGTTGTTTTTCAAAAGTAAATTTGTAAACAAAACAAAATCATTGTGATCAACACAATCGCAAATCAAATACTTTGCTGTTGTGTTATTCTATTTGTAAATATTATTAACGCGTTCGCTACCAGCGACGCATATATGCGTCGTTTATTTGCTGTAGTTCTATGTGTTTTTCCAAATCTCCGGTAGCGAACGTATTAAAAAAAAACCAAATTTTTTTTTCGTTTTTTTACAAAATAATAAAAAATTTGAATTCAAAAACTCTGTCCTGGATAATATAACTGGGGTTAAGTTCGAATGGTTGTTTGGATTCGTTCATTTTAGCAGGATAATCATCATCATCACCACCCACGATTCTGTCTCGAACCAAAATAATGGTCTCGACTATCTCTCCATTCGATCTTTTTTCTAGTTTCGTTCTTTCTGCGAGTGACGTTTGTAATTTGTTTTTTTTTTGTTTTTTGTTTGTTTTTTGATTTAAATAAGGTGATTACCATTGGCAAAAAAAATCAAGTCAATCAATCCATAATCGTCTGCAGGAGGTCTTTTCAATTTTTTTTTTGTTTGTTTTGTTTTGTTTTGTTTTGTCCTTTAAGGCTACTGGGTATAATTCCTCTGTTTTCTGTTTTTTGTTCAACGAAAAAAAAAACTTGGAATCTGGGATCAGAAATTAAATGCAAAAACAGAAACTTTGACTTTGTATACAAAAAACGTTAAATTTACGTTTTTCTTTTTTCATTTTTTGCAGAAATAAGAGAGAATCCAAATCACGATGAAAACAACAGTTCATCATCGACGACAGCAAACTCAACTTATCATTTTCTGTTAGTTTGTATACATTTTGGTTGTTTTGTTTTGTTTAGTTTAATAAACTACTATCACCAGAAAAAAAAACCAACCGGTTATATAAATTTCCAGAAAAAAACATCTTTTTCATCAACATATTTGCTTGGTTTGTTTATGTAAAAAATCATCATCATCATCATGATGACATGAATCTTTAAATCTCTCGAAATTCATTTCAACAATCGTCCATCATTATATAATCAATCATGATTTCAACAACAACAATAATTTTATTGTCATTACTGGCAATAATGTTGGCCAATAATTCAATGGCCAATACATTTATATGGGATCCAAATAATACGGATAATATTGAATTGATTCGATCACCATTTAGTCGCTCTCATCAAACATTTGCCAATCCACCAAAATGCGTTCCAATTCCAGCCAATCTTACACTGTGTAATGGTATTAAATATCAACAAATGCGTCTACCAAATCTACTTTTACATGAAACAATTAATGAAATTATTGAACAATCTAGTTCATGGTTACAATTATTAAGAATTGGTTGCCATCCAGATACAAAATTATTTCTTTGTTCATTATTTAGTCCTGTGTAAGTTTATTCAGTGTTAACGAAGGGGCCTGTTTCAATTTTATGATTTTGTTTTTTTTTTTGGTTTCGATACATATAGATGCCTGGATCAAACAATACCACCATGTAGATCATTATGTGAAAATGTACGTAGAAATTGTGAACCATCAATGTTGGTACATGGTTATCAATGGCCACCAATGATGCAATGTAATTTATTTCCAATTGAAAATAATATGTGCATTGAATCACAACAACAACAACAACAGACAACTACTACAACCGATAAATCAATAAATCATAATGTTGGTCAATCATCGATTCGTGGCAATAACAACAACAAAATCAATCAATCAAATAATAATCGAACCGAAATGGAACAATTTCAACGAAAATTAATGAATTCTATTTGCAATTCGGATTGGGGTAAGTGTTTTTTTCGGTCAATTAACTTTTGGCTATAAAAAAAAATCTTCCATTTTTTTCATTCATTTATTTTAGTAATCAAAATTGGCCTAAATCAAATACGTAACAATCGTATACGAGTAAAAAAATTCAAACCAATATTTGGTACATTAAATGTGCCATTACCATTTGCATTGAATATAAATAAATCAATGATCATAATTGATTCGAATGATGACCAGAATGTAGAATCTAACATTACGAATCGAACATTGCCTAATCGAATAAAATCAAATAGAGAAAAATTTATTATTATTGGTCGTGGTAATGATCACCCGAATGATTTACAGGTCATTTTAGCTTTAAGTTGGCAAAAAAATACCGCACAAATCAAAAAAGCTATTCGTAAAGTAAAAAATAATGATGGTTGTAAGAAATTTTTGATGAAAATTTCCAATTCATCACAACAATCATCATCGATTCATAATGTTTCGATAGCAAACAATGAACAAACCAGAACAACAGCGAAACGTAATCGAAATCGTAATCGAAAAAAGAATTCAAACATAGCAAGAAGAGAATGAATGAATGTCCAATGCCAAAAAATCGATACCATCTCATTTCATTAAATCATTCATTCATTTTCATGGATGAATTATCATTTTCTTCATTTTCTTCATTTTGTCTATTTAGATATTTGTATTTGTATTTTTTTTATTAATATACCTACCATTTATCATTTATATTATTTACCATTTGATCGATATATAAATAAATAAATCAGATTTTCTTGATTTTCTCGCGAGATTTGTCTCGAGATTGTTTCATTCATTCATGATCATCGTTTGTCGCTGAACAGGGTTAAAATTATGTCAAAATTTTTCGAATCTACAATGATAATAATGATAATAATCATTGTTAATATTATTGATATACATCATCATTTCGTTGTTTCGTTAGTCGAATCAAATTTAAATTCCAATTCGAATTATTATTATATTGAACAATGTATGACAAAAATTATTGATGAAATACAACCATGTAGTGAACAAGCAGTACAAAATTGGAATCTAAATCATAGTTATTTTGTACCATCACGGTTAAGTACTTGTTGTGCTAATTGGGAAGTATATGAATGTTTTATACAGGCTGCTTTGGTAAGTGTCTTGACAAATTCTTTTCTTTCCAAATCTAATTCCATTGATTTATCAATCAATCAAAGACTGGATGTACATTGTTTGAATTTCAGGCAATCGTTAACAATATGACCATTGATGCAATCATTTTACAACGTAATAATTGTTCACGATTTAAATATCATTCTGAAGTTTGTTCATCAAACAACAACAACGATGTTGGTTACAATTTTTGGTTGATTGATTCGATTTCTATCATTGTTTCATTGGTAACATGGTTTTCATTTTTCGTGTGAAAAAATTAACACGTTCGTTACCAGCGAGGCAAATTTTTTTTTAATGAATTTATTTATTAATTAGTTTTTATTTACAAAAAATTATAATATCTCTGGGTGTTTGTTTGTAATTCTTGTTTAATTATTCTTGATTATTATTATTAAAAATTTTTTCTAGTATAGAATTCATATCCACAGTATTATTCAATGTCATATTTAAATATTTTTCCGAATATTCTTCAATAATTTGTCGGATAAAATGTTTCTCTTTTCGGACAATCATCGAAACAATTTCATTGAATGGCCATGTCAGTGATTCGGATATTAAACGAAAATTTTCAAAGGATTTTATTCGCAATGAATTCGTAAACAATCGCTGTTGATTAAAATCCAATACAAATTGTGAATGAAATTTACATTGTTCAATTTGAACAGCAAGATTCCATTGTTTAATAAAAAATTTTTCATCCATATTAATATCAGCTTGAAAATTTGCTGTAATATTCATTACATAAAATGTTTGATTAAATGTCCATATTGATGATTCTAGTGAATTTAACATTTGAATTGATTCTTTTATCGGTACGATTTCATCCAAGCCATAAATTTTTAAATCATAAATATCACCAACACCATAATTACGTAATTGAATTGTTTGTATTTGATCGATAATCAATGGTTTTAATTGATTACCAAATTCATATTTCATATGTTTTATTAGTTGTAATGAAAATTCAAATAAAATTTGTTGTTTATATTCATCTGATGATTGATGATTTTGTTGTTGTTGCTTTCGTTGTTCTTCTTCAATTTTTTGTTGCATTTTTTCCATTGGTGATTGTAATGATGATGGTCGATTCTTTAAATGCAGTATTATTTTCGGTTTTACCGGGTTATTATTTACCAAACAATTACCGCTAGTTATTATTTCTATTTCACATTTATCATTGGTTGTTTTTGTTTTTGTTTTGGTTTTGATTCTGGATTGAACGATATCACCACCATTATCATCAATATCATTGAAGCGATTATCGATGTTATCCAATGGCTGTGCCATAACATTTGCAGTTGATGAGGGTGATGGAGATGACCAATGGTCAATATTTTGCATCATCAACATGATCAATATGAAAGTTGTGTGGGAAAAATTTAAACCAAAGGATTTTTTCATTGTTTTTTTGTTTGTTTGGTTTTTCGAGGAAAAGAAATGAAAACACGAGTTTGAATAATGAAAAACTTTATTTAATTTTACTCGACTGACAAAAAATGACAAATGTGAAATGGTGGATATTTGTTATAGAATATCGCTATAAAGCAAGAGATAGATATTGCCCAAAACGGATATTGCCCATCCATATTTTTAAATCACTTTTGCTTATTCAGTGCACAATCATTTTGTTCTGTTTAGGTTTTTGGTTTTGTTGATAAAATTCGACATTTTATTCATCCACAAAATATCAATCGTTGTGTCAATTTTTGACGTCTTAATTTTAAAAAATACAAAAATGTAATGAAATTTTGACATTTAAAACAAAATTTTGGATTTTCTCCACTATAGAAAAACGTTTTGTTAATAGAATTTATAATCGAAAAAAATTCTTTGCATTAAATACACCACCACCAGGTTGTTGTTTTTTATATTGAATAAAACCATAAACAATTCCACCGATAACAATTCCTACGATAAACATGATTAAAATTATCATCAGAGGGCTGGTTGTTGTTGTTGTTGATGAATTATTTCCATTAAGACATTGTTGTAATTTATCCTTACTATATGGATTATTTTTACAAATTGTTAATGATGAAAAACTTGTTAATGTTCGATGCATATAATCAGACCATTTTCGTTGTTCAATTCCGGTACAATATTTCCTTGCATGTTTATCAATACAATTCATTAATTCATACATTCCACAACAAACCTGATCACCATTTGCATTCCAATTTTTTTCCATAAATGGATCATAACGTTTTAAAATTTCATCTTCACAATTTGATATAAGATTTTCATTAACAATCTTTTGATTAATTGATGACGATGATGCCTCGGTTGTAATATTCTCTAAACGATTTATACATTCAGATTCTTGTGGTGATGCATATGGTAAACGAACAAATTTATGTGATTTATAAACAGGTATTGGTTGATGATTTTTTCGACAATACATATCCCAATAAATATTACGACAAATACCAATATTAACTTTATAATAAACATCATGACAATAGGATTTAACTTCGAATGCAATAACTGGTGAACACCAACGATCAGCATTAGCTTCATAACATCGGATTTCTTCATAAAGTGAACAACAACTTTCCCATAATGTTGTTATGGTTGTATTTTGTTTTTCGGGTGAAAAATCATCCAATGCTTGTTGTTGACATTTTTTAACTAAATCATTTTCACCTTGCATACAATATTTTGCAAAATCATCCGGTTTTACAAAAGAATTACCACCTGTCGATGATGATTCAGGTAATTGAATTAGAAATATGGAAATTATAATGAAAAAATGTAGCAACATGATTGATTGATTATCGATGATTTGATGCAGGTATCATCTCGGTTTTTTATATATAAATATATTCCAGCGATGAATAACCTTGAGAGAAATCCATTGTCCATTGATCAGTTTTGGATTTTTGATTGTTGCTGTCGTCGGTGGGGGTTAATTAAATTAAACGGAAAACAAAACGAAAAAACACCCCGAATTCGAAAATCATATGATTTGATTTTTTCATTTCAATTGTTAATTACAATTATAAAATACCAGAAATTTTCCATTAAAATTTTTCAATAAATTTTATAATTAAAAGTCGATTTAGTTTGGAAATATACCAAAGATACCTTTTCTTCGTGTGAGAATCTAATTTTGTGTTAAAAGAAAATCCAAATTGAATCAATAAAATGAGTCAATCAATCAGTCAATCAGAAATATCGGATGATTTTTCAACGGAAAAAATACAATTACGTATCTGTATAAATGAAAAAACTGAAGATGATGCTAAACAAATGGCAGCTAAATTACAACAACAATTACAAGAAAAATTAGAAAAAATGTTAGGTAAAGAACCGGGTTCAATGTCAGCCGAAATGAAAGATAATGTTAAAGTTAATATTAGAACAAAATTAAAATCATTAAAATCATCGCTAACAGGATTGATTAGAGATAAATCAATAAAATCAATTAAAAATCAACAACAACAACAAGAACAAACAAGATTATCATCATTAACAGAAAATTTAAGAAATTCATTACAAATTAATAATGGTTCAAGAACCAGTCCATTTTATTCACCAAATTTTCAAAATCAACAAAAAACAACAACGCCAACATCAAGAGGTGCTGGTGGTGGTGGTGGTGGTTTTGGACCAACCAAAAGCCAAGATCGAATAAAAACACAAAATACAAAAGATTTTTCCAATTATTTAGGTCCATTGAATCAAATTTTGAATGAACAACAAGAAAAATATAAATTTGAAGTTCAAAATCCCCCCCGTAGTCCGATGCAAAAATTTTCAAATTATCCTGGTAATCAACAACAACAACAACAACAACAACAACCACGATGGCAATCACAACGACAACCAACCGAAATACAAGATTATTTCCGTAGTTATCAATCACAATCATCAACAACAGGTGAATCATCATCAACAAAATCAAATTTATTTGAAATGTTTGGTATTTATCCAAAACAACAAACAAGTTTTCGTCGTCGTCGACGTTTTTTTTCACGTCGTCGTGGTGGTGGTGGTCGTGGTCGTTATAATCAACAAAGAGGTGGAGGAAGAGGAGGTAGAATTAATCGATTTTTTCAACGAAGACGTAATGGATTTTCATCATTTTTAAATCGTAGACGACGGCCACGTTTTTCATCAAGACGACGTTTTTCTAGCAGACAACAACAACAACGAAGAAATTCACGTCGATCAAAAAATAGTAGCCGAAAATCATCAACAACAACATCATTTTGTTCAATAAATAGTAACAGTAACAATAATAATATTAATAGTAGTAGTAATAATAATAATTTAGCTGAACAAGAATTACAACAACCATGGATAAGACAACGATCACCATCAATACGTTTATCATCAAAATCATCTAAATCAAGATCAATAAAATCAAATTTAAAAACAAATGTTTGATTGACCAAAAAAGACAAGAGTCGGTAGAAAGAGGTGGAAATAGTCAAAATTTTGATTCGAAGGAAAACAAACAACAAACATATTCAAATGCTGCGCGCCTGTCTAAAAAAATTATAATTTTTTAAAAAATTTTTGCAAATAAAAATTCTGTATTTTGAATTTTCAAATAATAATGATTATTATTCAAGTGTGTGGTAACACACAAAACATTGTTTTTACGATGAGAAAAAAAAACAAACAAATTTGACCAGAAAAAAAATGATACAAAAATATAATGATAATAATGGTGATAAACAAAACAAAAAAAAATCACACAACGAACAACGATTTCGAAAATGTGTGGAGAGGAAGAAAAGATGAAAATTTAAAAAAAAAGAAAAAATATGAAAACAAAAATAACCAAAGAGAGAAAGGGGTGACACAAAAAAAATATCATTTAAAAAAAAAATATGCACGCAGTACGTGCAAACGTTCCTTGTGTTCAATCAATCACCACCATCAAATCAACGATAATTCGCGAATATGAATTTTTCAATTAAAAAATCTTCTTGATTTAATAAGATCACCAGTATTTAAACGTCTACGTGGTCGATCATCAAATATATCAATTTCATTTCGAACACTACGTGCCATTTTTTTTATTGAATCAGCCATTGATTCACCGGGATTCATTCGAAAACTCTGTATATAAAATAATCAATGATAATGATGATCAAAGAATGAATTTTCATCATTCAAAAAAAAAAACAAATGATCCTCTCCTTACCTCTTCAATTTCACGTTCATTTCGTCTAGCAAAATGTGGTATTTGAATTGGTAAAGAATTTGCAATCTGTTGTTGTTGTTGTTGTTGATTATGAGAATAAAAATCTCGTTGAAATTTTTGATGATCATTAGTAGTAGTAGCATTAGTAGAAGAAATTGGTAAACCAGAAATGGAAGAACGATAAAATTCATCATCATTACCATTATCAATCATATTGGAAGTTGATGTTTGATTATTATTATTAAGTAATGATGATGAATATTGTTGATTTGATGATTCTTTTAATGGAAAAACATTATCACGACGTTCATCATTTAGATCATCATCATCATCATTGACCAATTCTTCACCTATTTCGACTTGATCATCACTACGTTTGGCTCGAACAACATCAAACGATTCCATTGATAATGAACCACCGCCATCACCAATGCCAGTAGTAACATCCAAATCATCAATATCAAATATTGAATCAAATTCATCGGAATTTTTTTTCTCATTCAATTTCGTTGTTGTTGATTTCGTAGTTGGTAAAAAATCCTTTGTTCCGGCAATGATCTTCATCGATGTTTGATCAAACGATGGTTGAATCGATGGTTGTTGTTGTAAATTTTCTTTGTTATTATCATCAATATTATGATGAATTTTTATTGTTTCAATTAAACGTAAAAATAAATTCTTATTCATTATTGTTGATTGATAAAGATGTTTAAATTGTTTTTCCTGTTCCATTGAATAACATTTTATACGTTCTTGAATATTGGATTTTTCTTTTTTCAAAAATAAACGAATTTTATCGCTTATATCTTCTTGTATATAATTTGAAAGTAGAAAACATGTATTTTCCTGATTAGTTTTTGAATCAGAATCAGAATCTGATTGATTGTTGACAGCATAACTGACAGTCAACAAATGATCCGGTAATACAATTCCTAATGCAGGTGAATAATTTTTCGATAATTTCAATTCGGAAATTATTTTTTCATCCGTCTGTTTAATGAATAGGGAGAAAGAATTAGCTATTTTCAAAGGAAAACTTTTAAAATATTTCTTTACCAACAAAGAAGAATTGACAAAAGCAATCAACGATGATTCCTCCTTTCCACTAATGAATTGATTTGACGATGACGATGATTTTGAGTTTGATATAAAAATAGCATGCGTTTCCAATTCACAAACAGTACAAAAATATATTTGTAAATTATTATCGATAATTCGTTTTAAACAAAGATATTCATAATTCTGTAAAGCATAGTAATTAGAGAAAATCATTAAGTGTTAATCAAGGGTTAATGTTTTTTTTTCTAAAAGCATATTTACAATTTGAATTCCGTTTGGAATAATTTTTATCAATTTTGAATTATTCAGGAATTTATCCAGCAGGTTATCTTGCTGTTGTCGTCCTAATAATTCTAAAATTTTTTCAAACGATGGTTGTTGTTGTTGTTCACATTGTTGTTGTTCCAATGAATGTATTAATTGTACATTTAAACAATGACATGTTGATAATTTTGATTGTAAAGTCATTTTATGTTTATGGTTTGCTTCGGGTTTCGAAGTTTTTTTGCGGTTTCGAAGTTTTTATTCGCGGATTCGAAGTGTTCGATGAGTTCCTCTTTTACTGAATGATTATTCTTCACCACACACACACCAAACAAACAAACAAACAAAGAAAATTTCTTTTACTCAAGTAGCATCTGTGCGTGTGCGAGTGTGTATGTTTATGGCGTTTTTTTTCGTTTCGTTTCGTTGATGGAGTTCAAACAAACAAAAAAAATCAATTTTCAGAAAATCGAAAAAAACAAAACAAGTAGATATATGAGAGTAGAGAGAGAGTATATTTAGGTTTTTCCATCCACATCCACCATCAAAATCGAATCGATAATCAAAAAAATGTAATCAAAAAAACATTCAACCATTTGGGTTGAACGAAGATGATTTCTTTAACGAAGAATTCAACAGTTTGTTGGACCACAAAAGATTTGAGATTTACAAATGATCAGCATACTCAATTTTTCACAATTAAAAATAATCTAATCTTGGGGAAAGAAGGGTTGAAAACTGATGATGAAAATCACATAATCAAAAAAATCGAATGAATTTTGTCTTTTTCGATTTTCGATGTTGTTGTTGTTGTAGTAGATCTATATTTATTGAATAAATAAAAAAAAATCTTTTTTAATTTTCTTTCAACAACAACAACAACAGCCTTGAGAATGAGATGAAAAGAAGGAGAAAAAGGTGGTGGTGGTGGTTGGTGGTTGGTGGGGGGAAAACAAAATCGTTTTGCCAAATGATGAGTATCGCTGTCTGTATAAACAGAGACAATGCTGCTGCTGTTGCTGATGTTTTTTATTATTATTTTTGCTGGCAAGGCTGGTTTTTTTTTTTTGGTTATAATTTTGTTGTTGTTATTCACGAAAATGATGAAATATATGGTGTGATACAAAGAGAGAGAGAGAGAGAGAGAAAAAAAAAGGGGAAAAAAATTAAATTGATTCGAAAATGAAAATGGAAAAAACTGTCTGCTGTGCACACAGCAACACAGAAAAAAGATTAAATGTAAAATCGACGATATACAGTATATTCTCTTCGCTTTTTCTTTTCAGATTTGTTTTGTTTTATGTTATTGTGGATTATTATGGATGGATGGATGGATGAAGAACGAAAATTGACTGTATAATACAGTATGTATACGGCTACTTGTGATTCGAAATTCTCAACAAAAAGATTTTGAGAAAGAGAAATTATATGCATGATTTTTTTTCTTTCTTTTAAACCGCTAGTAACACGCAAGCGCATTCTTGATTGTAAAAATTTTTTTTTCTTTAACGAAAATCTTTTTTTCTGTCTTTTAGTAGAATTAGGTTTTTTTCTTTGTTTAGTTTGGTTCCGGTATGACAGCCAGGTCATAGTCCAGTGAGGTTAGGTTAGGTTGATAACTATGATTATGATGAAAAGTACAGTGAGGTTAGGTTAGGTTAGGTTGATGATTGAGTATGATGAAAAGTACAGTGAGGTTAGGTTAGGTTGATGACTATGATTATAACGAAAAGTACAGTGAGGTTAGGTTGATGGATAAAAAAAAATTCAAAATTCCCGCATTTTAAAAATTCAAAAAAAACAACAATACTACCATCTATTATCAAACAAAATAAACATTGTTTGGTTCCAATTGGAACCAAACAAACATTTTCTCTGCTTCTCTCTCTCTCTCTTTCTCTCTTTGTCTCATTTGTTTGACAATATTTTCTTCTATAAAAATGACTTCTATATACGAAATTACGATTGTAGTGAGTTTCACTGCGAATGATGATGTGATAAATCTCCTTTTTACAACATCGATATATCATCATTTTGAATATATAGCGATAGTATACTGTGTACCATTCACATATAAAATTACGTTACAATCCTGTATACATACAGACACAATAGAGCAATACGTCTGTATTTGTGCGTCTTTTTTTTTCTTTCTCCATCATCAAAAAACTAACTTGAATTATACGTCTGTTTTTTTTCCATTTGTTTGTTCGGTTGGTCTCTCTCTCTCTCTCTCCACTAACTGCTGCTGTTGAACACGGTATTTTCTTTTTAATTTTTGTTGAGTTTTTCGTCGTTGTTGTTGTTGTTGAGCAACACAGACACACATTTTTGATGATGATTTCGTATTGAATTTTGCAAAAAAAAGAATGGATTTTTTTGGTTTCTTTCGAGAATATTTCGGTGGACCGTGAGTGTTTGTTGTTTGTTGGTTGTGTGTATGGTGAATATTGATTGAATTTTGCAACAACCAAAAAAAGGAAAAACAATGAAAATTCAATTTTGATTGATGGTGTTTTGTGTTCGGTTTGTGTTAGTGGTTTGTGCATTTTGTGATAATTTTCTTTTCTAAAAAAAAATTGAAAAATCGAAAAAAAATTTCCGCAAAAAAAAAAGAATATTTTTTTTCGAACGTTTTTGAAAACATTCGAATTTGTGATTTTTTTTTTCTTTTTGGCGTTCGAATATTTCTACCCAACCAATCCCCAACTAAACACCACCCCTAAGTTTCACCAAATCACCAATATTCTTTTGGTTTATTTTTTCGTTTTTTTTGTTTGAATCACAACCCGAATACGAAATATCCGAATTGAAAAAGTAAGTAAGTATTTTATCTCATTTATCAATGAATGAATGAATGTTGAGAAATTATGAATATGAAGAAAGGGAGTGAGAGTAAATGCGTATTTTTGTTTGTTTCTGAAAATGTTTATAAAAGTTTTTTTGGTTTCAGTTGGAAAGATTTATTAGAGATGATTTTTTGTTTTCAAAAAAAGAAAAGAAAGAAAAACTGTCGGCTTTCATCGTAGTCGTCGTCATTATTTTTATTTTTGACGACTACGACGACGATCAATTTTCATTTTGTTACTAAATACTCCTTCTCAGTTTTGCTAATATCGTCATAGGTTTTTTTTTTTTGGTTTTGACGTCTTTGCCAACATTTTATTCTGTTGTTTTTATTATTCAAGAAGATGAGGTTGTAGTTGTCGTTTGATATTGAAAATTATCTGATTCCTGCTCCAAAATTTTACCTGTGTTTTATATGTTATTTAGGGGAGAGAAGAATATGGATTTTGTTGTTTGGTAACTTTTTTTGCTGTTTTTGAAAAAATCAATAATAAGAATCAAGAATTTTAAAATTTTGTATTTTTTTTATATAATTTATAATAGTAACCTGTAATGCTTAATAATAATAATCGAGGTGAAGAAGAGATATTTACACGACCATCAACGACGACGACTACGACAACAAACAACACTGTGAGCAATAGCAGCAGCCGAAATATCAATCATTTAATTAATGTTGATGATAGTGATAGAAGAATTAATAGAAAAAATATTCAAAAAATATCATATATAACGTTTGACAATAATAATAATAATAACGATAATGATGATGATGATGATGATGATGAAAACGATTCAATTAAAAGTGCATTTATTGTACCGAATATTGTGAATAATTATCATCATTTACAAGAACAACAACAACAACTTTCACCATTGTTAACAACAACAACAAATAAACGACGTCGTTTAGATTTAATTATCAATGAATTAAATCATCATCAAACTGCTAATGAAGAAGGTTAGGGGTTATATAAATTTAAATATATTTTTAAAATAATAATAATATTTATTGTTGGTGTTTATTAGTAGGATTATCATTAGTGGTTAATCAAGTTGAAGATATCTCTTCAACAACAACAACAACTACTAATGCATCATTGAATAAAAGTGGATCATCATCAATTCATAGTGAAACTAGATCAACAAATGATGACCACCACAAGTATGATAGCCATCATTCAATCAACAATAAATATCATAATGATAACGAAAAAATAAGTAATGATAATGATCATCATCATTTGAATTATGATGAAAAAGATGAATATTCTTTAAAAGAAAAATATCAAAATGTACAAGTAAGTTTATCACGCATATATGTAGTAGTTTTATCATTGATTTTTGTTTATTCCCAATTGGTAGAATTTGCAACAACAACAACAACAATATCAGCAGCAACAGCTGAAAAGAAAATATTATCATCCTCATAATATAATTAGTCATCAAAATATTAATAATAATCATTCTTATGATAATGACCATGAACCATCATCATTATTATCCATTAATCGTAGTGTCAGTAAAAATTTTAATACACAAACAATTACAAGACGAAATTCGTTTAATAACGATTCATCATCCAAAACAACATTTGTTATTGGTAAAAATTGTATTGGTGGCTGCGGCGTCGGCGGTGGCAACAATAACAGAATTGTTGAACAAAAACAACAATTCTTTTTAAATAATAAAAAAGATTCATCAACGAATCTATTGCTACAGCAAGCAATTGTTTGTCCAGCTATAACAGCAGCAACAGCATTGACAGCTACCAGTATTACTAATACTGGTGGTATTGTCAATCATCAAACAATAATCAAAACGGCTCCAGCAACTTCAAAAGCATCTTCCTCGAATTCCGAGGGAGATTATCAATTGGTTCAACATGAAGTACTACAATCGGCCAATCATCATTATGAGGTATTGGAATTTTTGGGTCGTGGAACATTCGGCCAAGTGACAAAATGTTGGAAAAAAGGAACAAATGAAATTGTTGCAATCAAAATTTTGAAAAATCATCCATCATATGCTCGACAAGGACAGATTGAAGTGAGCATACTTCATCGATTAAGCCAGGAAAATGCAGACGAAGTATATTTATTAATTCAAATTTCTTAATTATTAGTGTTAACTTTTTTTGTTTTTTTTTTGTTTTTCTAGTGGAACTTCGTTCGAGCATATGAATGTTTTACGCACAAGAATCATACCTGTTTGGTGTTTGAAATGTTGGAACAAAATTTATATGATTTTTTAAAACAGAATAAATTCAGTCCTTTACCACTAAAATTTATCCGTCCAATATTGCATCAAGTTTTGACTGCACTTCTAAAACTCAAAGTAAGTGGTGAAATTCTCTAAACATTTCTTATATTTTTCTTAATTTACAAATTTCCAATATCAAAAATAACAGCAACTTGGTCTAATTCATGCTGATTTAAAACCTGAAAATATTATGCTTTGTGATCCGGTACGGCAACCATTTCGAGTGAAAGTTATTGATTTTGGTTCAGCTTCACATGTTTCAAAAGCAGTTTGTTCAACTTATCTTCAATCACGTTATTATCGTGCACCGGAAATTATTCTTGGTCTACCATTTTGTGAAGCAATCGATATGTGGTCATTAGGTTGTGTTATTGCCGAACTATTTCTTGGTTGGCCATTATATCCTGGATCATCTGAATATTATCAGATTCGTTATATTTGTCAAACACAAGGTTTACCAAATGAACATATGTTGAATCAGGCTACAAAAACTACTAGATTTTTTTGCCGTGAAACAAATTCAAACTATCCATTTTGGCGTTTGAAATCACCGGATGAACATGAAGGAGAAACTAGTATTCCATCGAAAGAAGCACGGAAATATATATTCAATTGTTTGGATGATATGGCACAGGTAAATGTTCCAACCGAATTGGATGGTTTAGATTTGATTGCCGAAAAAGCTGATCGTCGTGAATTTATTGATTTATTGAAACGAATGTTAACATTAGATCAGGAACGTCGAATAACGCCTGGCGAAGCATTGAATCATAGTTTTGTTGTTTTGAATCATTTAATTGATTTTCAGAATTGTTCAATTCTTTTATCATCGGCCAAAATGATGGAAGTTTGTCGTCGTCGTATATTCAATCATAGTGGTACTACTACTACTACTACTACTAATCATCATCATCATTCATCGGGATCATCATCATTGGTCGTTAATGGACACAATTCAAATGTTGTCGGTAATCATCAAGTAGGTGTTGTTGGCTATGATTCGAATACTGGTGGTGGTTTGAATGCAGCAACAGCTGCAGCTGCTGCTTCATCTGGTCATCAAACAATGGCCATTATAGCCAATAATTTTAATTCACCATCAGCAGCAAATGCTGTTTCGGCAGCCATATCGTTTAATAATCATTTGACAGCCAATAATAGTGTCCAATCTGCTGCGGCAAGTGCTGCTGCTGCTGCTGCCTATCAATTTCATCCATCAGCAGCAGCCAATTTCTATCCTGGTCCACATAATTTATCTGTCACAGGTCAAGCAAATCAATCAACTCGTACATCAAACCATCATCATCAACAACAATCTGCTGCTATAGCTCGTGCCGCAGCCATTTCCAATCCATATGCGGCAGTCGCTCGTGCGGCAGTTGTTGCTGCTGCAGCTGGCGCTGCTGCTGCCTCTCAATCGGCCCAAGATCCATTTGCTGCTGCTGTTCCTGGAGCCTCTTCATTGTGTATGCCTTCAATACTTTGCTCGAATCCTTATTCACCGGCTGGTAAACATCATCCAAGTGCTGCGGCAGCAATGATGCCAATGGCTGCGGCCGTACAATTTCAGCCATCAGCTACCTTTTTTACTCAGATGGCTGCAGCCGCAGCAGCTACTGGTGGTCAACAATATGTTCCAGTTTCAGTTGTCGCTGCTGCCGAACAAAATGGACGTCAAATGTTGTTGACAAATCCGAACCTGGCTAACACTGTAGCTGCTGCCGCAGCGATACAATCAGCAGCCAATGCTAGTGGTTGGCCATCGGCTGCAACGAATTCAGCTGGTGCTGCTGGACGTCATCAACCGATGTTTGCTATGCCATCCGCATGGCAACAATTTCAAGCTTCCACTACTGGTCGTATACATCAACATCATCAACCGTTGACTGATGCTGCGGCTGATGCTTGGTCCAGATCGATTATGATGGCAGAACGAGCTGGAATGTTACCTGCAGATCAAGCAGCAGCTGCAGCTGCTCTAGCTTTACCGATGGAATTTCATCATGCTGCTGCTGATCAAACATCAATTTATGAACAATTACGTAATCATCAAAATTGTTCGAATTTGATTCAATCCGCTAATGTTTTGGCTGCGGCAGCAAGTGTAGCTAATCCATGGAATGCTGTTGTTGCTGCTTGTGGTGGATCAGGCGCGGCTAGTAGTGGTGTACCACAACCAACTGCTACTGCTGCATCATCATCGATCACATCGGCTACTTCGATCCATAATACCCATCATCCAAATCAGTACTCGACCAATCAATCGAATTGTGTATCAGTGTCATCAGCTAATCTAAATAATCCGAATCATTTATTTCAACCGGGTGCTCAACATTCTTCAGCATCCAATTCAGCACATCATCATCATCATCATCATTCGATATTTCCGAACATTTCTGGTTCTGGTTGTTCAACATCTTCTAACATAGTAACCAAACGTAATCAAGCTATTCATCATAGTAATCAACAACAACAGATTGTCAATATGGCACAAAATGTCAATCTAATCCAAAATCCTCATCATCAGATTCAAAACAACAATAATCTTTTTGCAACAACAACAAAACCATTGAAAATAAAAGAACATATTTCACCAGTAAAAAAGAGAGCCAAGGAATCATCTCCACAACATAAATGGCTACAAGATTTGACAATTCGCAATCAATTTGATTTGGCCAATTTTGATCAACCACAAATGAACCAAATGAATCATTTACCATTGTCAAATTCTCCATCACCAAATGGAAATCAAATTTTTCGCGGTTCATCATTCGACCAACAACAACAACAACAACATCATCATCCTCATCATCATCAACAACAACAACAACAATCATCACAACAGCCACATCATTCATCATCGATGATATTGAATCAAAATTTAAAAATCAATTCACAACAATTATCACGTAGTTCATCATGGCTTAATAATCAATCAAATAATGGTAATATTCATCATCATCATCATCATAATCATGGTGGAAATCAAACGATTACTATTGAAGATACACCATCACCGGCTGTTTCAGTTATTACTATTAGTGATTCAGATGATGAAAAACTTATGGATCAAAGGTTTGTGTAAATTTATTTTATTTCTGTTTTGTGTTTAATAAATTACCTTTATTGATTTAGTAGTTCAAATAATAATAATATAACTGGTAAAAAATGCAATCAAAATTCGAATAATAATAGCTATAAATCATCATCAATGAATCAAAATACTTCTGTAAATTCGGTAAATTCAACCACCACTGTAGCATTAACACCCGAAGAAACATTTGCTGAATCATATGCTGCACAACATTTTGGACAAAACAATAGTGGTGGTTGTTCAATCAATAAATCATCATCATTTATTTTTGATAATCATCATCAAAGAAATTTAATGAAACCAACATCAAAATTAATACATTCATATTCAACATCAGCAATTGTTAAAAATCCTCATAATAATAATAGTTCGCTTTCACAAGCGGCTGCTGATACAACTACTTCATCGATTATGGAATTTCCTGAATTAGGTTAGTGTGTTTCCATAAGCAAAGTCCTTTTTTAATATAGATTTTATTAATCTCAATCCATTTAGAAAATTTTTCACAAAAAAAACGAATTCTTGCCAAAAATCGTTCATTACAACAACAGCAACAATCATTTAATGAAAATCCACATCATTCGATTATTAATACTAAACAAGAAATGATTATTAATGATGAAGATGTTTGTACATCAAGTACTTCTGCTTCATTAAATCGTTTAAATCATTGGGATCATCGATCAGATTTTAATCGACATGCAAAAATGGAAAATTATGATGATGATTATGATGATGAACAAACATCGTTAGATGTAACACCAAAACCACAACAATATCAATTTTCTTCACCTGGTTCTCATTCAAAGGTAAAATCATCAATAGTTTATTGTTCATTTGACCTTGATTAACAATTTCAATAATTTATTTTTTTGGCTTATAGAAATATTCTGGTTCAAATTTTAATCGAAATCCTGTTCTAGCTACGGCTGCTGCCGTCGCTCAACAACAATTATCTCCATTGAGTGCATCCAATTCACATTATTCATTGTATTCACCACCATCACAACCACCACCAACAAATTCTGATAATTTAATTTATCGTGATTATGCAGCAGCCGTATATTCTGCAACTTCATCGTCATCATCATCATCGATGGCCCAACAACAACAAGGTTCATCAAAACGTGGTGGTGGTGGTGGTCAACTTTCATCCACACAAAACATTTCAACATCAACATCATCATTATCATTGAATTTACCAGCACCACCACCGGCACATCATAATTCTCATAGCAATAGTAAAAGTCATCATCATCATTATCAACAACAACAACAACATAATCATCCATCCAATATGTCTGGAATTTCATCTTCGGGCATAGCAGCAAATATTCCAACAAATTTGCAACATTCTTCAACAGGAGGCTCTCAAGCCGTCTATTGTCATGGTGCACATCATATGCAACAACAACATCATGGCCGGCCAAACAGTACAGGAAATCCATTACCGGCACATTTGCAATCACAATCATCACAATCGCATCATAATTCTCATGTTCATCATGGTGGTGGTGGAATGGTTTCAGCTGCCATACGATTAGCAGCCACACAATCTAATTATGCGGCAGCAGCAGCAGCGGCTGCTGCCGCTGCTGCATATAATCCGCTACAACAAGCAAGTGGATCATCATCATCATCATCATCAGCGGCTGCAAAAGCAGCAGCAGTTGCAGCCCAATACCAGAATCTATATCAGCTTTTTGCTGAATGAATGTAGTGTGATAAATCTTTCTGTTTGTCTATTTTTTGCATCTTGCCTTTTTCTCATTATCATTCAGTTCATCATCATTTGTACACCTTTCTTGCCTTTTCACGCTAATCATCAAATACAATATTTCCATAATGAATGTTTATCCCCATCACTTCTAATATTTCTAAACACACAGGGCCCTGATAAACATAAAATATTTTCCTTATTATTATATATGGTCTGATGAAATTGACTGAATTTCTATATCCATGATTCTCATCGCTATTATCATCATCACAATTATCATTCTTCAATTTTCTCCAACCATCATTTTTTATAATAATCATTTCATTACACTGATAATGATTCAAGGAAATTTGGTGAACTTGAATAAAAACATATGGAAATGAAACTCTAAAAGCAAAACCAGAAACAGAAAATTTCATGCTCAAATTCTTCATCATCTTTATTGTGAAATGTCAACAACAAAAATTACAGAAAAAAAAACAAAAAAAAAATATTCTAGTTTTCATTTGATTTATTACAATTTCAATTTGATGCACAAACATACACACAATTTTTAGTGTTTTTCACAATTTAAACAAACAAAGAAACATTCATTATTTATATATTGAAGATGTTCGATATGATCAATCGAATTGATCACACACACACACACATGTGCACACAAAACGCGTAACCACAAAATTAGTTTTCTTTTATGATTTTGTAATTTTTCTTTTTTCCTTTTTCTTGTAAATGATATAACACACACACACACACATATTGAATACATTACATTCATCCGGTACATTTATTCATTCATTCATTCATTGAATAATTAGATTTTCCTAAATCATCGTTTGAATTCATCTTTTCTTTTTTCTTCATTTGTTCGGCCTTATTCAAGAGAATTCATCATTATCATTATCATCATTAATTATGAATAAGCAAAAAGATTTACAAAAGTTAAAGTGAATATATTTGAAGAGGAAAAAAACATTTGTTTGAGTCAGCAATTTTGTCCATTTTTTTTTGTTTTGTCTATGAATTTGAATGAATTTCAGTTTTTTTGGTTTGGTTTTGCGTGTCCATTCTCTATTTATATTCTAATATATATTTTTCAGGTGAAAACAAAACAAAACAACAACAACAACAGAATATATGTGCAAAAGAACAAGAATATTTCAACAAAAAATTTTGTAAATAAAATAATTATTATGATGATATTATTGAAAAAGAAAAAAAAGTTCAAAACACAAAACAAGAAAATACAAATTCAAACCAACACTGATATTCTGATTCTTTTTCGCAAATCTATGTCAAATCATCATCATCATCGCAACACGAATTTCACTTGTTGTTGTCGTTTCATGAACATATCCTATTGATGATAAAATGAATTTAATAAAATTTCAAAAAAAATTGAATAAAAAAAATATTTTTCATTTTGTAGCAAAAAAAAATTTGGATTTTTTAAAAATTTACTTTTTTCGCGCGGTCTTTATTGCGCTTGCGCAAGAATTTTTCTGTTTTGCATTATGATGATGATGATATCCATAAATGATTTGGGAAAAAATGAATCCATTATCTATATCCATCACCACCACCATTGATACCACTATCAAAAAAAAAATCCACCACCATCAAATCATAAGGATACCGGATGGATTCGAACCAAACAAACAAAAAATCAAAGGTGCGGCACATTTTTTTTTTTTTGGAAATTGTGGAATGTACCACATTTCAATAAATATTCGAGGGTGTTTTGGATAATATGATGGGGGGGGATTATAGTAGCTACTACAGTTTCTATAACTAACCAGCTATATGACTACTAACCGATCAGGATGATAAAAGTAGCAAAAAAAAAAGTAGCGGTTTTTTTCCCCTTCCCTCTACTCGAATCAAAAAAACCCGTATATAGAATCCATCGTATGTAGCCATAGATCGGATTCCATCTCCGCTCTTATATGTATGGAATTGGTACGCTGTTGGAACAGTCGAATCATTCGTTTGGTTCTGATTTCGAAGTAGTGGTACTTTTCAAACAACAACAACGACGACGATGTTCCAACAACCAACATCATCATCATCATCATCATCAGGTCAAATGAAAATTCTTGAATGAAAATAACAAGAAGAAGAAAAAGAAGAAAAATTCTGTTTGACTGATTTGTCATTTTTTTTATTCTTATCAACCAAATAATTTTGATGTTTTTTTTTGTTTGTTTGTTTGATGTTTTCAAAAATTTCAATCAAAATTCAATTCAATCGATCGCATCGTTTGAAAAATTTCCAGTGAATTTCCAGTGAACGCAATATGTTGCGTTTTTTTTGTTGCTAAAGTAGAATTTTCTTTTCTTTTTTGCGTCCGGTAATTACCGATCAATTTGATTCATTCAGCATAATTCATTTTCAACAGAATTTCTTTTTCAACGTAAGTATTTTGCCATAGTTGAATGAAAAAAAAAAATATTCACCTGATTCTCATTTTCATACATACCAGATAGAGAAAAATTTCGAACGTCAAATTTTTCGTTTGTTTGTTTGAATCGCATCCACAACGATCAAAAATTTCACCGACAAAATTTTTTGTTCAACGCAAACATAATGAATTTGAATGAATGAACTTTTTGTATCTTTTTTTTTTTTGGTTTTGATCGCAAGAATCGATGATGATGATTGAATAAGCAAGTGGAAAATCGTCTTCAAACCTTTTTCTTACACGTGTGTGCATCATATTATTCTTCTTGTTTGGTCAAAAAAAAAAAAAAACTTTCTCTGCGTCTGAATGTGCAAAATTCCAAACAAATTCTGATTCGATCTGATTTTGTCTATTTTTTTTTCAAAAAGAACTTTTTGTTGTTGTTTGTTTGATCCGACTGGAAATTAACGATTTTCGTTTGTTGATGTTTGGTTTATTTTGGTCTGCAAATGTGTGTGTTTATGTGTAGGTGTGTTTACCTATATGCTGTTTTGTTTAGATTAAACATTTATGTTTTAGTTTGATTGGTTTTTGTCATCCGAATTAAAAAAAAATCAAAGATCAACAACAACAACAAGCAAAGCATGTGATTCAATTCAATTCATCTTCAATCAAATTGTAAATATTATTTATTCATTCTGGGTTTTTCTGACTAAATTTATTTGATAAATTGAAAAACCAAGAAATATCCCAGAATATCATCCTGTCAACAGTTTTTTTTTTGATCGCAACCAAAAAATTCAATTTCATTTACGAAAAAAAAAACGCCAAAATTTTATCCATTTCAACAAAACACGTGTTTGCCGCTCCATTTTTTTCCTTTTCTTCTTTTAACCCAAAACAACGAAAAAAAAAATTCCAAAAAATTCACAACATTGAATCAATTTGTTTTGTTCGGTAAGTCAACAAACAAACAAACAACAAATCAGAAAAAAATTTTATTTCCAAAAAAAAAGCCAGAAAAACGAAAAGCAGAAATCCAAAAACAACACGACGACAATTTTGGACTTTTGTTTTCGTTTGTTTGTTTAAACTAACTTTATTCGATAATTAATTTGATGATGATGATAGATATACCTCACTCTCTTTCTCTCTCTCTCATTTGTGAATGACATTTGTCCAGAAAGTTAGAAAACTAACTAACTAACTACCTCAAGGTTGTAACTCTGTGTGTGTGTGTCTGTATGATGATGGTATAGTGAAATGGATATAATATGCATATGACCGCACCTTGTGTGTATGTGAATCACCTACATAGTGAATGAAAAAAAAAATGATGGTTCGGTTTTATTCTTCTTTAGTGTGATTTTCTCAAAACTATAGGTTGTTGTTGAATGAAAGAATTCGAGCCAAAAAAAAAACATTGAGCATGTGAGGAAGTTTGCGTTTAAGTTGGTTAGTTGGTTGATTGGTTGGATGGATGGTGGGCGTCCAGGTTCGTCTTGTGTTATCCTTTTTCGTTCTTGTTGTCCTATCCTGTTCTGTTGAAATATTTAGTTATATAAACGAACACAAGATTTGCCTGAATTTTAGCAATGGTAGCAGTAGTGGCGACGTTGATTCGAAGAATTTTTAACAGAAAAACTAAACCAAACCAAAATTCTATAGGAAAAAATATTTCAAAAGGAAGTATGGATTTTCGAAGACATTCTATATATGAATGGTTTCTTCGTTTCGCTTCGTGGATCTTCGCCGCATCATCTTTTTTTTGGTTGCAAAGAAGATGGATGGATGGTTTTCTTTCGGAGTAATAATGAGTAGTGGTAGCGGTAGATTCTGGCTAGCTTCTGGTTTTTTAATTTTTTTCTTTTTTTTTGCATTCTGGACATCATTATTTTTAATCATCATCATCATCATTCAAATTTCATAATAATCGATCGATCGATCGATCGATCGATTCACGCAAACTCATTAATGAATGAATGAATGAAAAAAAAACAGAAAAATTTTAACAAATCAATCGACTGAACTGAAGTGAATCACACAATCGAAGAAAAACAAAATAAATAACCGAAACCGAATCTAACGGACCACTATATAGACAGAGGGAGAGAGATATCCAGAAAACCAGAAAAACAAAACTCAAAATAGCTGCTAGCTGAGTTCCAACAACAGCAAAAATGTTGATTTTGTTTTTGCTTGTTCGGAAAATATATTCGCCTGCTTCCCTATATTTCGTTGTTTTTCAATATTGGATTCTACCCATTTTATTTGGATTCTATAGCAATGCTAACATCAACCGAAATTCTATATGATTCTGGATTCTGGATTCTGTTCGGTTTGATTCGTTTGGTCATGGTTATGCCACCACCACCATCCGCACCCGCACTATCACATCGTTGATGATGATGATCATCGTCGTCGTCGTTTTTTTTCTTTCTATCTTTCGAAGATTCCCCCTATCCTTCAATCAATGATTATTCACTTTTCACTGAATGTTTTCTCTTGTTTAGTTTTTCTCGAGTAGTTTTTTTTTCTATCGACATTTGGTCAGAGGAAAAAAAATAAACAAAAAAAACAATCAAAGAAGAAGAAGAATCAGCAAGAATCATTCAAAAAGCTGTGCTTTTTTTGTTTTCGAAATTCTTTATTTAAATAAAAATCTTGATGATTACCGGCCACCATCAATCTGACCAGCACCAACTGATTCTGAATTCTGATTTTTTGAATTCTGATGATCGGAATTAACACCACCATCATCTTCGTTTTTATCTGAGGAAATCTTTGAAAAATCTTTGAAAAACATCAACCGACGCCCAAAGCCAAAGCTGAATTTTTTTTTTTAAGAAAAAATAAAACACCAGCCTTGTGACTTGAATCAAAATAAACTGTTTTTTGTTTGTTTTCCTGTCATTCTCAACTCTGCTGTGTATATATTCAATGTACTGATGATGATGTTTATTTGGTGATGTTTAGTTTTAAGTTTTTTTTCATAACAAAACAAGAATCATTGAAACAAGAATCGATGAATTTTTGATGAATAGAATTCATTCATTCATTTTTGCTTGTTGTTGTTTCTCTTTTTCGTTGATTTCAATCTTTGATCAATTTACCTAGATCAAATAATCGATTATTATTTTTCGATTTTTTTTAACCCGGTGGTGTGGGCGTTTCGTGTGTGTGTGTGTGGGTGTACGTCGGTTGTTGTTTTGGTTGTTTTTGTTTGGTGGTGGTGAATGTTTTGGTTTGTTTGTGTTTTTTGGCTTCTGTGTTTCCGTTGTGTGTGTGATTATTTGTGGTTTCTATTTCGACCTAAAGTGATTCTAATTTTGATTAAAAATTATCTTTCATCGCAAGTGGCTTCAATACCCCAACCCAAACAACGACGAAATTTTATTCATTTTTTTTTGGTTTTTCGTTTGTTTTCCAGTTAATTTATCAACTAATTTAACAGTATATATATTTTTTTACGTGAAAAACCCCGGTTAAAATATAAACATTACGACCATTACGACTATAACACATATCTGTGGAGCAATGGGTTGTGCTATGTCCGCTGAAGAGCGGGCAGCTCTTGCACGCTCAAAACAAATTGAAAAAAATCTTAAAGAAGATGGTATACAAGCGGCCAAAGATATTAAATTATTATTACTTGGTAAGTTGGTTTTGATTTTGATTTTGATTTGGTTAAATGAAATTCATTCATTGTTTTGTTTTACACAGGTGCTGGTGAAAGTGGGAAATCTACAATCGTAAAGCAAATGAAGTAAGTGAATGAATGAATAATATTCCTATTGCAAACTTTATTAATTTATTAACTTTTTTTTGAATACGAAAGAATTATTCATGATTCTGGTTTCACAACTGAAGATGTAAAACAATATAAACCAGTTGTCTATTCAAATACAATACAATCGATGGTTGCAATTTTACGTGCAATGCCTAATCTAGGTATATCATTTGGTGGACAAGATCGTGAATCAGATGCAAAAATGGTATTCGATGTTGTATCAAGAATGGAAGATACTGAACCATTTTCGGATGATTTATTAGCCGCTATGAAAAGGTTATGGTTAGATCCTGGTGTACAAGAATGTTTTGGCCGTTCAAATGAATATCAGCTAAATGATTCTGCCAAATAGTAAGCTATTGGATCGAAATAGTCGACAAAATCAAAACTAATAACCGTTTTTTTATAACTTTTTAGTTTTCTAGACGATCTAGATCGTTTAGGTAAAAAAGATTATATGCCAACTGAACAAGATATATTAAGAACACGTGTAAAAACTACCGGTATTGTTGAAGTACATTTTTCATTTAAAAATTTAAATTTTAAATTATTTGATGTTGGTGGACAACGTTCGGAAAGAAAAAAATGGATACATTGTTTTGAAGATGTAACCGCTATTATATTTTGTGTTGCAATGTCCGAATATGATCAAGTATTACATGAAGATGAAACAACGGTTTGTATAACAAAAAACAAGCATTTTCAATCTAAAATTAATCGTTTTTTCTTTCTCCTTTCAAAATAATAGAATCGTATGCAAGAATCATTAAAATTATTTGATTCAATTTGTAACAATAAATGGTTTACCGATACATCAATAATATTGTTTTTAAATAAAAAAGATTTGTTTGAAGAAAAAATTAAAAAATCTCCATTAACAATTTGTTTTCCTGAATATACAGGTAATGTTTCTGTTTCTTTGTTTTTAATCAATTTTTTTCATAATATTTTTTACAAAAATAATAATAATCGTTGTCAAGGATTTCAAGTTCACCCTGTATTTCTTCTTATTATTTTTACATTTTTCATAATCCAATAACCATCAAAAGCGAAAAAAATTGAATCCAGAAACGAAAAAAATCGAAACAATTTTCTATTGTTATGTGTGTTCCACATATTCCTCAGTATTCCTCATTCTTTTTCCTTATTCGAGATTTCATAGATAAGAAAAATTTCAATAAAAAATTTTATTGAAATTTCTTCTTCTTTTGTAAAAAATTTGGAACCACCAACAACATAACAAGCAAATGTGAAAAAAAATAAGAAATTTTCGTTTTTTTTTTGTTTTGTTTAGTAGGTCACTATACTATACCAAAAAAAAAAGAACAAACCCGTGAGATTTTCTAGTTTAGTGTAATAATAATAAAATGATGATGATGACGTAGATGCGCACGCCGATTCTGATTCTGAGAACCTTGTCTTTCCCCCCACCAAGAAAATTCCTGATGAATAATCGTCATCAGTCGGTGTCATTTGAAATATAGAATGTAGAGACAGACAGAGAAAGAAAGAAAGAAATCAAAAATTGTTGTAGTAGCGAATGGCAAAGACAGTGAAATTGAATGAAAAAAAAATGTATGGTATTTTATTCAATCCGTTCTGGTTTTAGTTCTGGTTTTGGTTTTTTTCCTCCCCCCATATGTCTATTTATAGTTTGAATATCTTTTTTTCTCTCTATCTCTCTCTCTCTCTCTCTCTCTCTCTCTCTCTCTCTCTCTTCATATATGTTTCGGTTCTTTTATTCCAAAAACTAAACGGACAATGTTTTTTCTCTATAGATGTTTTTCTCATAGACGATGATGAATGAATGAATGATTTGAATCGTAACCCTTCCCCCATCTTTCCCCTTAGCATTGAATATTCTTTTCGTTTTTTTTTCTTTCTCTTGATTTCTTCCAGATGATGATGTTTAGTTGATTGGTTGATTATTATTATTACTAAAGAAGAAATTAGTGGAAAAAATTTATAAAATTAAATTAATTAATTAATTTTTTTTTTGTAATTTTTTTTTCTGATTTGTAATTAACCAGGCGCTCAGGAATATGGTGAAGCAGCAGCATATATACAAGCACAATTTGAAGCTAAAAATAAATCAACAACAAAAGAAATTTATTGCCATATGACCTGTGCAACTGATACAACAAATATACAATTTGTATTTGATGCTGTTACCGATGTTATCATTGCCAATAATCTACGTGGATGTGGATTGTATTAGTCAAAAACAAAACAAAACAAAAAACAAACAAACACTTCAAAAAACAGAAATTCTTAATTATCATCATCAAACTGACACACACCAAACAAATCGACCAAAAAACCATTACATACTTACATACATACATTACACCTGGAAACAAACACCTGGAGAATCCGTTTCATTTTTTGTTTTTAATTTTTCTCTTGAATCGATAATAATGATGTCCAAATGAATTTTTTCTAATTTTATTTTGATCGCCATCTCATTCAATTATCTCTGCCTGTGTATGTTTTGTTTTTCTTTTGTTTTTTGTTTTTTGTTTCTTCCTTCCTGATTCTTACCGCATACATCGACCCACCATAAACACACATCAACAGCAACAGCAACAACACTTTAAAAGTTCATCCATGAAGTTTATCATGTTGTTGTTGTTGTTGTTTTTTCTATAAAATATATCGCAATGCGATAATGATATTAATAATAATAATAATAATTGTCACTTATAACCTGAACCGAAAAACAAAACCGCAAAAACGCAAAACGCAAAAACGCAAAACAAAACGCAAAACAGAACAAAACATGTTTACAATATATAAATATATAAAACATCAAAATATATAGGAATTTCTTTCTTTCTTTCTTTATCAGTATTTTTTTTCACCCTGGTTACACGAACCCAGAATTGTTTTTTTTTCTTCTTTTTCCCTCTTCCTGTTATCAACCAAACAAAAACAACCGAATCATCATCATCATCTTCATCATCAGCAATCAGAATTTTGTTCACAACAATAAAGTCAACGACGACGATGAAAGAAAAGAGTCAAGCAACCCAAAGTAAAAAACATGCTTTAAACCAAAACAAACAAACAACGAAAACATCATTTGAATGTCCTCATCTCTTGATCTCTTGATTAATTTGGATGATTTGACGACAACGACGGCGATTCTGATTTTCTCTTTTTCTCACTCACTCTATATACAAATATATAAATAAAATCAACAAAAACCAAACAGAAAAAAAATGATTTAACTGTAAAAATTTGACCGAATAATACCCATGACCCAACCGATGACATAAACAGAAACAACAAAAACAACAAAAATTTTCCATTTGAAAATTAGTGAAACAAGCAACAAGACATACATTTTACAATTCAAAAATCAAATTGTTTTTTCCCTCTCTTGAAACACACATTTTTTTGAAAAAATTGATATAAATAGAATCTCTATCCACATTTTTGCTTCTTCTTTTTACATTATGCTGAAATGTTTTCAGTATTTTTGTTGTTGTTGTTGTTGTTCAGCTTTCAAACTGAAAAAACACGGCTAAACACGGTTATTCTGCTGTTATGGCTGAAAACTGAAAAGTAAAATTGTTTCCAAACTTGTCTGATCTGGTATTCACTCACACACTTATCATTTTTGTTTTTTTGGTTTTTTTTCTGTTTCTGTCGATCATTTTCAATCCAAGTCAACCTAACCTAACCCCCCACAAAACAAAAACAAAAACAACCCTTGTGTCACCATGTGGACAACATCAAAAAAAAAAAAAAAAATTTTCTTTAGTTTTTCTTGTTGTCTGTTTAACCTAACCAAAATCGACCAACCAAAACTGACCAAAACAGCTTAACATGTTTCTCTCATTCTCTGTGTATTTAATCTCTCTCTCTCTCTCTCTCTTAATTAATTTATCTGTAATTATTCAATTCAAACAAACAAAACTTTCATCCACAAAAAACAAACAACAAAAATCATCATCCAAATGACCAAAACACACACACAAACAAACATTTTTCACCATTATCAACACATCATTATTATTAAGCAAAAAATCAGCCATCACCGAACTACCAAAAACAAAACAAAAACAAATTTAAACAAAAATTATCATTTCTTTTCATTTTTTTTTGAATCTTTGGTCTTTTTTTCAAACACATCTCTCTCTCTCTCTCTCTCTCAATTCATAATTTACCAACCGAAGAAAAAAAAGAAAGAACCGAAGATTTATAATTAATAAATTTAAAAATTTAAAAAAAAAATAAAAAAATTTTGAAATTTGATGAATTTTGATTTTAATTATATAATTATAATTATTTGCAAAAAAAAAATATTATTATTATTATTATTATTTGAATAAAATATTAAAAACAAAACTTGAACTTTGATTTTTTGATTTTTGAACTTTGATTTTTTTGTAGATGTTTTGACAACCAAATCATCAAGGCAAAGCAGTCATCAGGTTGTAAAATAGATATGCCATCGCTATATTCATTGCACATATTAAAAGAAAGACAAATTGCCGTGTAAACCATATCTATTTAGAGAAAATTTTCGATTAAAACCAAATGAATAGATTCATTCAACATTCAAAACATTCAAATTACTTACACCAATTTTTTTCATTTTTTGTTTCATTTGATTTTCTGGTCGTAATTTTCGTTCACGTGCTTTATGTGCTAATTGTGCAACATTTTCACGACACCACCAATCATCATTATTGATTGTTTGTAATTTTAATTGTTCAACATTTGCTGTTGTAGCAGCAATATATTCAGCAGGTAATGATGCTTTTCGTTGATGAATACCATCCAGATTAGTATTGGATGAATTTCTTCGTTGTAATTTTCCTGATTCTAATAATAATTTTTCACCAAGTTTTGTTGCAAATTTTTCAATATTATTATTATTATTATTATCGGTACATTGTTTCTGTTGTTGTATAGGATTTTCATTTTGGAAATGTTTTTCATTGTTATTTGTCCGAATCGGTTGAACGTTCAAGTCGGGATAATTATTATCCTGTCGAATCGATGCTTCGAAAAGAATTTCCTGATTATTATTCATCATAAATTCTGTGAAAGGAAAAAAATTATCAATTTTTTTCAAAAATCAATTTCCAAAAAAAAAAATTTACCTTCCATTTTTTGAAAATCTTCATCCCTAACAGTTAAACATGATTGATCATTATTATCATCGCCGCCAATGGTAAATTTATTTTTTCTATTTCCAAGTATTTTACTTGTAACCGATTTATATTGATCACAATGATCAGTAAATGCTTTTGAAAAATTTCTATCATTAACAACAACATGATTCGATGATGATTGATTTTTCAATTCAGATTCAATTTGTTGTTGTTTGGTTTGAAAAGTATCCGATGAAGGAACTTGTAACGAATCATTTGTTTGAATTTTTGAATTTTGATTATTATTTTCATTGGAAAATAATGTCTTCGAACGATTTGAACCCGAACCGATAGATTTAGGTGAAAATAGATTCATAAATGTTCGAATTGGTGATGGTTCTCGTGATGATGGTGAACGAGAACCTGATGAAGGTCGAATAAAATTCATTGATGATGATCGAGAAAGTTGTTGCGGTGAATAATTTGGTGAATTTCGTCCGGTTGTCAACGATGATAATGGTAATGGTGATGTTGGCCGACTAGAATAAGGACGTTGTTGTATACCACCAGGCGGAACAATTCGACTTGGTGATAATGAACGTCGATCTCGTCGATTTTTATCGATAACAGCATAATCATTATTCAAACCAATCGATGTCGGTGATGTTGATGATAAATTTTCCATACTAAATTTTGAATAAATTTTTGGTGGTGGTGGTCTTGCCGGTGGTGTTCTGGTTCTAGTATCGTTACTGTCTTGAGCAAATCTTACTTGATGATTTTGATGATTGATCGACGACGAATCATTAAAGCCAGCAAAATTTAATTTTTCTTTCTACAAAAATGAAAAAATTGTTCAGAATTTTTGCAAAAATCATTAGGAAAAAAAATCAAAAAATAAATTACACTACTATATTTTGGATCACGTCTTGTTGCAATTGCCTGTGTAATTGGTGTAGAAATTTGTGTCGATTGATATGATGATGATGATGATGATCCATCCAACAATAATGATGGTTTTGCCATCAAAGTTGGATTAAATTTCGATTGATAAGGATTATAATGAATATTTTGTAACGATTTAATCGGTTGTTGATGATGATGATGATTGTGATGATGATCATAGTGTGGACGAGCATACAACGATGATGAAGTCATTCGATTGATACCCGACGATGATAATGATGGTGATGTGAAATTCAATCCATTTGGATTTGAATTAAAACGTGTTAATGGTTGACCAGCCATTGCTGCAAACAATAATGATGGTTGTTGTTGATTATTAATCAATGTTGTTGTTGTTATTGCTGTTGGTTGTCCTTGAATGGAAAAATCACCCAAATGATTCTGATTCTGATGATAATCTAAAAGCATCTGATCATCATTATAATAATAATTTTCTTGATCATTCTCAATATAATTATTATCGGGATAATATTGTTGTTGTTGTTGCGATGGTGGTTGTTGTTGTTGATATATTCGACGATTAGATGGTGGATAATTTTGAGCAGTAATTAATTGATTCGATTGTAAATGATGATTATCAAACGAACCAAATCGAATCAATCCAGGTTGTTGTTGTTGTTGTTGATACAAAGCTTTTCGACATTGAATGAAAAGGTTAGGTTAGAAAGTTTTTTCAATCACAGTTTATAAACATCCTTACCTGGAATATGTTCTTCCGAATAATTTCCTGCTCTAATCATACGATTATTATTATACCTTGCAGGTATATTTTGATTATCATCACCATAATAACCTTGTTGTTGAAACGATTGTTGATTCGGTTGATAATGATATGGTGAATGTTGTTGTTGCTGCTGAGAATCAAATCTTGATACACTTAATGAACGTTGTTGTTGCTGTTGTTGTTTTCTACGTGGTGGTGCCGAGGGTTCATCATTACGATTAAAATTCATTTTTTTCTCAATGATAAATCAACCGATTAGTCGAAACAAACAATGTGTTTAAAAAAAATGTAAAGATTTACATTTCGCTTTCGCTCACACATTATATTCATACTTTCATTATCATATCTATTGTTTTTACGGCCAAAAAAGAGAAAATTATTTTTGAAAAGAATTCGGTCTGTGTGTCGATTTGGTTAAGAATTTTCACTTTATTTTGAGAAGAAAAAAAAGAAGAAGAAGAAGATCACAACAGGATAGGATTTAAGAATGAAGAGAAAAGAGAAAAAAATTTCTGGCTAAAAATATAACAGTGTTTTGGTGGCATAAATCCAATTTAATTATCCTGTTTTTTTTTTTTGTTCTTCTTCTTAATGATTTTGCCGACAACACATTGTTGAATATCATCAGAGTGAACATCACCAAAGTTTAATTATAAGAATGATAAGAAGATATTTTTAAATGTCACGAACCAAGAACGAATTTTTTTGGCCTATGATACTGCAGTTTATCAATAACAATCCATTACAATTTCATCTGATAATAATTTTGATGTATGAATTATATCGTCCAACAGGTTTAATTGTGGATGATTATCATTTGATGTTGATGATTGATTTTGTTCCTCAAATTCTTTTGATGATAATAATAATGTTGATGTTGTTAAAAAATGATAAACACCATTATTATCATCATTATTAGAATATTTATCAATAATTCCAATAAATTTGTTTCGATATTCAATAAAAAATTGTTGAATTTCAATATGAACTTGTTTAGAAATGAATAAATTTTCTTTAAATAAATTCATTAATATTTGTAAAAGATTTGTATCGGAAATTACACGATAAAATTCAAATGAATCAAAATTTTGTTTCGATATAATCAATTTGATTAGTTGCAATAATATCAATAATAATTCAGTATCATTTTCATCCGAAAAAATCTGACATATCAATTTCAAACAAATTGTTTGTTGTTTAAATTCTATTTGTTGAAATTTTTGGAAAATTTTTTGTAAATTTTCAAAAAATTGTTGTCGAAATTCTAGATCAAATTGTTCAAATTGTTGAAATATTTTTTCAAAAAATTTATCACCACCAAGAAAATCCATATTGAAAATTGAGGGAAAACAATAATTTGCCATAAAAAGTGTTGATAAACACATTGAACGACAATTTGATTGTAAATTGTTTGTTTCATTTATCAACATTGAATATTCTTGAAATAAAAATCCATTAAGATATCCGGCAAATTCGGAATTTTGTTTATCTTCAAAAATTATTTCGTAAATTAATTCAATGATGATATCAACAATATCATCATCATCTTGATCTTGATCGATGGCATTCAAATGATTCAATAAAATGGGAAAAAATTTTGAAAATTTATAAATTTTTTGTTTACGATAAATATCTTTGATTGATTGTAGAATCGATTTTCTGGCCATCGAATAATTTGAATAAATTTTCAAATAAATTTGTTCGATTTGCGCAATGCGCGCATCATTATCAGCGATGATGAGATTTTTTTGAAAAATTAATTTTTCAAAAAATGATAACAAAAGATTTAGATGTTTTTTACTACTGTTTGGTATATTGTTTTGAATAATAATCATTTCGATTAATGGCACTAATTGATTGCATTCATTTAACGCAACAGGTTTTAAAAGGGTTAATTGTTGAAAACATTCGTTTTGTAATGATTTTTTTGTGGAAATATTTTCCAGCAAAATTTGTTCTTCATTCGATAAAATATTGTTCACTATTGATGATCCATTTTTAGGTCGATCTTCTTTATTCAACAATTCAGTTAGATAACGGTGAAGAAAATGAATAGATTTTGTACGATATAAATCGATATTTTCGATACGGATGAATTTTGGATCGAAATTTGATAATGAAATTAAAAATGTTGAATAAACAAAACAATCCTGTTGTTTCAATAATTTTTCCCGTATTAATTCGATTAAATTTTCTACCGATTTATTTTGATCGATACCAAACGATAAAATCAATTCAATCAATTTGATTAAATGTTTTAAATGTTGATTATCCAATCGATTATTTGATTTCGTAAGGAAATTTTCAAGTAATGAAAATATATCATAACGATGGAAAAATTCATTCGGTTTCGATGATTGCAAATTGATTATTTCGTATAAAATTTTTGGTAAATCCGAATTTAAATTTTGAAATTTTGTTTGAAAAATTTGTTGCAATTCCAAGCGATCAAATGATAATGTAATTATTTTGACCAACAATAGATTGATTTCTTTTTGTATAAAACTTGTTTGACAATCATGATCGAATAACATTTCAATAAAATCAAAATCATTTTTTTTCGATAAAATAAAATGTTCGAATAAAATTTTCTGGCCAGTTTGATGATTACAAATACAATTTAACAGTGAAAACAATACAATATTCAACAAATGATGTTTGTTTTGATGTTTGTTTCGAATTATTTCCAACGATAATTGAATGAAATTTTGTTTAGTTTGTTTCAAATATTGATTGAATATGAGTTCACGATTAAATAATGGTCGACAAATTCGTAATACAATGACCAGATTATCGATTTTTGATTCATCATCATCATCAGCATTGTGAAGATTTTTCCAATCCAAATGTTTATCGATCAATATGAGCAAATTTTCTTGTACGATTAAATCGTCCAAAAATTCATCATTTAATTCATTTAAAAATGAACAAAATTTTTCAATCAATGTATCATCATGATTATCTTTTAATTCACTGAAAATTATTGTCTTTAAAGCAATGGCCACTTTTTGTTTTAATGATAATTCAGAATTGTCCATTGTTTTGTTGAATGTTTTTCACTTTTTCGGATTTCGATTCAAAAATTCATTCGAATCGAATGGTGTGCAAACACTATTTTAACCTGAAGAGAATCCACTGGTCGAATTGGAATCGAATGCATGCTGCTGAAACTTATTCGATCGAAAAAAAAAAAATTTGATTTGAAAACGAAAAAATGAAACATCGAAAAATTCCAAAAAGTGATCGTCATAAAAAGATTAAATCCGTGAATCAATTGCAAGAAATCAATGTTATTAATGATAATGTTGTTAAAAATAATTTGTAAGTCAAGTGAATGATACATCTATCTGTTTTTAAATTAATCTAGCGTTTGCTTTGTTTTCAGTAATCAATCAGTTCCAAGAAAATTACAAGAAATTTTAGATGCAAAAAAAGAATCAAACAATGCTACAAAGATGAAGAAAAAGAAGAAAAATAAATTCTTAACCAATGGTCTGGTTACGATTGGTGAGTTTATCTCTTTTGTTTGAAAAAAATCAAATTTCATAAAATTAAATCGCTGATCAATTTAGTTAAACCATCGGAAAAATTTGAAATCGAACCTGGAATGACAAGAAAACCAAAACCATTACCTGAAATGGTAATCAAAGATTTAAATGAAAGTAATCATCATTTTATGAATCGTTTAAATAAAATGATATCACAATCAATGGCTGAAGCTAATCTTGAAGAACATTTTGATTTAGATCTTGGTGATCAAATTCCAATCGATAAAATGGATTCGAAACAAAATCGTTTACTTTCAGCTAACGATGATAATGATAATAACGATCCACAACAACAGAAAAAACAGCAACGAAAAAAAGAAAAAAATCGACAAAATTTACTTCGACGTAAAGCAAGAAAATTAGGAAAACAACATCGATTAATAAAACAATTGAATAAAAATATTGATGATCATCATCATCATCATAATGATAAAGATTTTGTAAAATTCGGTGAAGTTGTACATTGTCCACCAAATTTTGAACAATTATTTAAGAAAAGAAAAAAATAAAAACTTTTAAAAAAAATTTTCAAAAAAAAACTTTGTAACGTTTTTTATGAATAAACCCTAACTATATTCATTTCGAAGTTTTGACACAGCACCGAGCACACACACACTCTGCTTCTGCTGTGTGTGGTTTGCTGTTCGAATGCTGTTTTTTTTTTACTTTTGTTGTCGCTGGGTGAGCTCACGATTCGATTTTGGATCTTCGTTTTGTTTTGGTTTGAATTTTGAAGCTAAATGAAAACCTTTTTGCATTTGAATAACGACGATAATAACATCTTTTTATCTTCAAAAAATATAAAATCTTTTTAATTTAATCAAGAGAAAATGTCATTAGCTTCATGTGAATCACCTATTCACGAACAACAACAACAACAACAAGATGATGATGAACAACAACAACAACAAAAATTTCCATCCAAAGGTACAACATATGATGATGAAGAATTAGATTTTGAAGAAGAAGTTCCATCAAATAAATCTCCAAAAAGTGATGATGAAGAAGAAGAAGATTTGGATGCGGATGATAATCAATCAATTTCAAACAAACCAACAAAAACATTATTGGCAGCCAATAATAATAATAATAATCGTCGTGAAAAAGAAAAAGATGAAGGTGAAATTGATTCCGATGATGAATTAGAAGAAGGAGAAGTAAAAGAAGATTTAACCGATGATGATGATGATGGTAATGATAATCAAAAAACAGAACAAACGGCTGCCGATGCTAATGATTCTGTTGATAATTCTTCTTCGTCGGTAAAACCGTCCATTGAAATTTCAACAACAAATACCAACAACAATGTAAAACGACCATTATTACCACAAGAAAGAAAAAGTTATTATAATCAACAACAACAACAACCTTATTGTAAGATTATTTATTTAACAATTTTAAAAAAATGTAACATTTTTTAATTTGTAAAAAATATAGATTACAACAATAATAATAATAATCGTTATTTGAATCAACCACGAATCGATCGTTATGGTAATCAAATTATTCGAACAAAAGAACCGATTCTAACATTACCATTACCAGCACCGATTGTCCATAAATCAAAAATACAACAACAACAATCTACTGAATCGGCTTGGGAACGTGGATTGAAACAAGCACGTGAATTAATTTCACGTGCATCCAAACGTAAAGAAGTGGAAGAAGATTTTGATAATAAACGTCATAATTTATCAGTTAAAAATCAAGAACCGTTTGATGATGATGAACGATCTGGATCTCCAACAGTTCCTCCTGAACTTTCATCTTCATCAACATCATTGATTGCCAATAATCCTACTTCATTGATGAAACGTCGTCGACATTCACATTCCTCATCGGAAGATGAAATGGAACGTAGACATAGATTAGCATATGATGCTGCACCATGGAATAATCCACGTGAATTTGGTTCACATTCATCTGGCCAGCCACCATATTCATCATCATCATCAAATTATCGTTCACGAACTAATTATAGTTCACAATATAGCCGATCGATTGGAGCAAATGATTCATATCGTGATCCATGGCGACGATCAAAATCTCCACAATCTCGACAATCATCATATAATCGTAATCGAGATGTACCTGCAGATGCACGATATGGAGAAACATTGTATAATAAAAAATTAAGCGCCGAAAATCGATCCGAATCAATGTCATCATTATCATCAATTTGTTCATCATCATCATCATCATCACCCGAATCAAAATCAAGTCATAGTAGCCGAAAATTACCTTATAGCCGACCAAGTTCAGATTCACGTAGCCGTTTTATGGATAATGGTTTGTGTTTTTTTATATAAATATTATTGATTTTGAAAAAAATAATTTAATTTACTTTGTAGAAACATACAGCCAACATAGTAGTAACAAATCAAAAGGTGGTTTCACTAGAATACCTAAAAAAATCAATGGTAAATTCAGACAATGAAAAATATCTATCAAAAATCACTTCTAACTTCTTCTTCAACTCTCTCTCTCTCTCTTCAATTAATCAACAGCTTCATCAGACGTTATCAGAAAAGATGATGATGATGATGATAATCATTCAATAAAATCATTTGATTCTTGGTCAGAATCATTATCCGATTCGGATAGTTATTATTCGGTTTCGGATTCCGATGCAAGTGATGGTGGTGGTGGTCATAGGCATACAAAAGATTCTAAACATTCTAAACACATTAGTAGCGCTAGATTATCATCAAATAAAGCATTGCGAAATCCAGATTTACCATCATCATCATCGACAAAATCACATCATCATCATCATCATCATGAAACAATTAGAAATAGTAAGCAATCTTCATCCAACAAAAGTGACCATGCTGCTGTGGCTGCAACAAGAAAAGAGACAAATATTAAAAAATCTAAAGCCGATATGGCCGGTAAAGTACCGATAAAAATGACTTTTATGAAAAAGGTTGGTTATTTTGATTTATTTTTTCCTATTTGATTTTTACATTTTTTTTGCTTTTTTCAGCAACAATCATTAAAACAAGATACTATCATTAATGAACAATTAAATGGAGGTAATGTATCTGATGATTTAGATGAAAATTCATCATTATCTAGAATTAGCCAAAAAAGTATGTCACGAAGTAATAAATCATTATCAGATGATGATGATGAAATGATTGAAGATAATCAAAATGAATTAGAAAATAACAATGATAATGATGATGATGATACTACATTTTCAATTAAATCATCAACGGAAAAAGAAACAACAACTGTCATCAAACATCATCGTCGAGAAGAATTATTAATGAAATTAAAAGCTGTTGAAGAAGCTATTGAAAGAAAATTGAGTTCTAAAAATTAATTAATATTAATAATAATCTACCACTACTAATGAGTTTTCACCATTCATATTGGACAAGATAATTTGTGCGAATAATTTTACCTTTTTTTTCGAAAATATTTAGAGCATCAAAATATCTTTTATCTTTTCTTTTCTTTTTGTACAAAAAAAAAAAATATTTAATTTCAAAAAAATATATAAAAATAAATGTAACATTGTTTATGAATGGTTTTCCAATGCATTAATGAAGCGCAGGCAAAGCAAGCAAGCATGTGTTTTTTTTAAGCAAAATCGCACACACACACGTCAATTGTGTTTTTCTTCCTTTTCCCTTGTTTGTTGGCCACTGTGTGTGTGTGGTTTTTTTCTGTGTTTTCATCATTTTTGGCCCGTTTTTTTCCGAATTTTGTTTGAAAAAATTAAAAAATGGTTGGAAAACGTAATGGCATGCTACCGAATGCCCATTTCCATAAGGATTGGCAAAGATTTGTAAAATGTTGGTTTAATCAACCGATGCGAAAAAAACGCCGTCATCAAGCACGTGTAGCTAAAGCTAGATTAGTTGCACCAAGACCAACCGAAAGACTTCGACCATTAGTTCATTGTCCAACAATTAAATATAATTCAAAAATTCGTCTTGGTCGTGGTTTTACTATCGATGAACTTAAATCGGCTGGTATTCCACGTAGATTTGCTCCAAGTATGACCCAAAAATGATGAATTTTTTATTTATTCAATTGAAAAACTAAATTTTCATTTTATTTTAGCTATCGGAATTAAAGTAGATTATCGACGAAAAAATCGATCAGTTGAATCGATACAACGAAATGTATCTCGTCTTAAGGAATATCGATCAAGATTGATTTTGTTTCCGAAAAATTCGAAAAAATTACGCGCTGGTGAATCAAGTGCTGAAGAAATGAAACTTGCACAACAAGTTACCGGAACAATTTTCCCGATTGTAAAGAATAAAAAATCATTAAAATCGGAAAAATCTCGAGTACCAACCGAAGAGGAAAAGAAATTTCATGCTTATCATTCATTACGTCGTGCTCGTGCAAACAAACGTTTGATTGGTGTTCGTGAAAAGAAAGAAAAAGAAGCAGCCGAATCATTGGATGCACCGAAAAAGAAATGAAAGAATTTTGTTTGTCATTTTTCTTTTTTTGCTTTAATATAATTTGAAAAAAAATTTGTAATTAAAATAAAATTACTTCAAAAAAAAAAAATGATTTCGTCACTTTTAAAACTTGTGAAAATATCTGAATTATTTACACCACCAAAAGAGTTTATCAATCGAAGATTTATATCCAAAAAGAAATTAATATCATTTTCATCATGATGATGATTATGCTGGCAAAAAAATGAAAATCCATTCATTCATTGTAATCGAATAATATGACATTTTTTACATAATAAATGTCCATTCAATGGATAACAAGTACCATCAGTTAATTGAAAATTACAATCTTCACAAATATAACAATCAATATGATAATCTTTATCCATTGAAACAACACGTACAGTTTCTTCTGAACCTTCTAATGGTACTATTGGTGTATTACAAACAGCACATTTTGGTGCATATAATTTATGATAATCCGAAACACAAAATATACGATTATGTACATCAACAGTAAATGGTACACCATCTAAACATTCATTACATTGTTGACAACGAAAACAACCAGGATGATATGATTTTCCCATTGCATGTAAAATTGTTTCCATAATTAAATGACCACAAATAGCACAACGATCGGCTGTCTGTTGAAATCCACAATAAAGATAATCTTCTTCACAATAAACTTTACCAAGAACATTATAGAATGCTTTCCCTATATAAACAGAAAAAAATTGAAAAATCATTGGTTTTTTGGATCTTTTAATCCACATTCAATCAGAGACAAACTGACCTCTTAATGGTCGACCACATGAACAACAAGTAAAACAATTTGTATGATATAAATTACCCATTGCTTGACATGCATCAATAACACCTAAAACTTTTTCACCACAATTACAACAAATACCAAAATAATCACCAATAGGATCTTTTTCTTCCAGTTCTTGTTCAATATCTTTAGTCATTGCTTCAACTTTTTTTTCAGCTTCACACATACCAATCGATTTTGGTGGTGTTATATCATAATTTAATTGTATTAAATTTGTTCCAATACGATTTATTTGATTCGATTGATTTGTCGATACAGATGATGATGATGATGATAATGATAATGATGGTGATGATTCATGATGATTTCCATTCGATTTACCATTCGTAGTAGTCGCTATATTTGAAGTATTATAATATTGAGCATTTGTTGTTGTTGTTGTCGGTTGTTGTTGTTGAATCATTTTACCATTATTTGATGATGATGATGATGATGAATTATAGATAGGATTCATTGTTGATGATGATGTATTTGATGTAAATGATGATTTTTTTGTTTCAACTGTTGCACGAACAGCTGTTGCTAATGTTGTTGTATTATTATTATTGGTTGATGGTAAAAAATCATGAATTTTTCCATTATTAATTCCATTGTTTTTGTTTATTGATGACATTGATGAAGAATGGTGATCAACGTTAGGCAACGGAATGGCTGCTTTTTTAAATGTACCAACCGAATTGGATGATGATGATGATGATGTATTATGTATTATTGGTGGTGGTGGTGGTGGTCGACATGGTTTGGCACTTTTTGTTGTAGATGTTGTTCGAGATGATTTTTGACCACCAATATTATTTGATGAATTTGATGGCTCAAAAAGTGATAAATCACGTAGAATATTGTTGATATCATCCATTGTTTTTTTTGTTTTGTTTAGGGAAGGAAAATCACGATTAATTAAATAGACCTGTTAATTGTCATTAGATGGAGAGGAAGAAAGACATTCGAATCACAAAACAAAAAAAAATAATTCAAATTTCCAAAAGAGAGATCTGTTTTGATTTATTTTGGCTAAACAGAAAAAAAAAATCACAACAATATTGGCTGGCAACAACCTGATGATGGCGCAGCTTGGTTATTGTATTATGCTAAGATGAAGATTTCATGAAAGACAAGCATTTCACATTCTCAGTAATTCAATACCAAAAGAAAATGTGTGGGACTAATGAATGATTCATCATTTGGTTTTGATCGATGATAATAATTCAGCTCAAAAGATGGTAGCACTGATGATTGCTGAATCTGAATGACACTCAATTGATGAAAAAAAAACGGAACAGGGATTATTTTGAATTGAAAATTTAGAAGAAAAAAAAATGTAGAATTTAACCGAGAAAGAGAGAGAGAAGGAGATCATAAAGTGAAGGTGAATGAATCTTGAAATGATGATGATGATTTTGATGTTTTTTTTTTTTTTATTATCAAAATTGAATCAAACATTCGAATGTCAAGTGTAGACAGACAGACAGACAAACAGAATTTAGAAAAAAAAAAATACCGGTCTGATCAGTTTGTCGGCTATATACACAGCAGCTGATTTCAGGCTTGAAAAAAAATCCGGTTATCCTGATTTGATGATATTATCTATTCAAAAAAAAAACATGGTTGTGGCTATCATCGACCAAGAACAAAGAAATACTGTATTGAATATAACTGAACTCTAACTGAAAAGAATTATCAACAAAGCTTATCTATTTTTTTCCATATAACCTTTTTTGAATGATCATCATCATCATTTTGGTCAAATTCGATTCTATTTAGACATACATAGGTTCGAAAAAGATCATCAAGTTATTATTATTGTTGTTTGTTTGATAACCAACAGACGGTATTTTGAAGAAAAAAAAAACACAACCAACAAGTTTTTTTTTTGTTTTGTTTTTTTGAATAAAATGAAATTTACCCATTTGATGTGTAAACACATTAACTGTGTTTTCCACAAGAATATGATCATTTTATACAATCAAACCTATACAGACAACAAACAAAACAAAACAAAAAAAAGTTAAAAGCCTGCATTCGAATCATGGATGCTTCTATATTGGTTAAATGTCATTATTATTATCATCATCAAGCATCCATATTATGTGCGTATATGTGTTTGGCTGCTAATTTTAGAGTGTTTAGAGTGTTTAGAAAAATCCTGATTTTCTTATATTGTTGATGATTATGATGATGACGTTGTAATAATGGCGTAGTTCTTTGTTTTTTTATGTTCTTTCTCAAATATTATATTTTTACAATCAGATTACATCATCATCATCACCAGAAATACACGTAAAGCAATGATAATTATGAGAAATGAAAAATTTTCAATAATTTTTTCTATCATTATTTCCGTTTTTTCGGGAATATTTTTTTTTTTAATGAAAAAACTTTTATCATCGGCTTCTTCTTCTTCTTCTTTCATCCTGCAGGGTATATTGACCTAAACGGTTCATATTTGTTGAAAAAGTTGATTTTTTTCTTTCTTTCTACAAATCTCTTCTTTTGATGATTATAATGGCGAAAATATTCGATTCGATTGACGCATGATCATTTCAACATAGGCGGATTTCAACTTTTTTTTTCTTAGGTTTTTCCTTTTGAACTACCACTTGCTCAAATCATTAAATTTTTTTTGTTTTTCGTTTCTTTATTAAATCAAACCACTACTATTAGACCACCACCATTATTATCAAAGATTGAAAAAAACAAAAAAGGGGCAAATTTCCTGGCAAAGGTAGCAGTATGGAAATTATAATAAGAAAATTCTTCAACGAAAGAAAGAAGAAAAAAACTAAAGAATTCTGTTGCGCTTGCTTGGACCTTGGCTATTACTCATGCATCATCATCATTATTAGCAGCAGCAGCCCCACCATTTTTTTTTTTCTCTCTTTCGTTTCATTTATTGTATGCTTCTGCTACAAAAAATAAATTTCGATTATTGTCGCAAACAGAACCACTACTCTTTTTTTTTTGTCAATGAGCCATTCAGTAATATTCATATTACAAATAAAGTTTTGCTGTGTTGATAATTCTCGTTGTTTTTTGATGATGATGTTTTTCTTCTATCTGTATATGCTGTTTTGTATGTAACGTTTGATGTCGTTTTTTTTGTTTGTTTGTTTCGTGTGTGTTTCTATCACCGCTATCACAACTCTCTCTCTCTCTCTTGTTGACTCTCAATAGACCTATTTTTTGGGTTTTTTTTTCATCAAAAAAATAATAATAATTTCCGATCCGATAATTTTTTGTTTCTTGGTTTGATTTGTTTTGAATACGTGTGAAAACTATTGGAATATTTTCGATTATTTGTTATGTTGTTTTGTTTTGTTTTGTGAAATCCAAAGATATCAATCAAAAATATTGAATGTGTTTTGGTTTTGTTTTTTTCAATTGAATTGAATTGAATTTGTTTGTGCGTATATGTTGTGTGTGTGTGAACTATCTCTTTGTGAATTAAAAAAACATTATTTGATTGATCGAATTTTCAAAGAATTTTTTTATATATTCTATTCACAACAGAATAACAATCAGAATTCTTTTATAATTCTTTTCTCTTTTATTATAATAATAATCTTGTGTTTGTGTTTAAAAGTGTAGTTTGTGTGTGTGCGTATTATATATTTTTTTGATTTTAATTAAAGAATTTACATCACCATTATTATTATCATCATTAGAATCATTTTGAAACTTTTCCACCAAACAAATATAAATTCTTTTTTTTGTGTCATAATCTATAGATAATTTAAAGTAAACAAAAATCGAATTTTTTTTAATTTGATGCAATGTTTGGCTCACAAAAAGCCTATGGAGCAAATAATCAACAACAACAATCGAATAATAATACGACCTATGGCAATAATAATACATCGTCCTATTATTCATCATCATCAAATGATTCATTTTGGGGAAATCAACAACGATCAAACAATATTGATAATAATCGATTGAATTATTCGTCTGCTGCTGCTGCTGTTGTTCGTGATTCTTCTTCTGTTACTGGTATTGCAAATGATTCACTTTATGGATATCAAACTAATCTAGATTCTCGTTCAGGTAAATATTTTAATTGTTTAATGGAAAAAGTAAAAACTTTTTTCTTCAAATTTTGAATTAGACAACAAATTGGCTACGGTAAAATCCGAAAAATATGGTAATTTAGCTTCATTCGCATCATCGGCAAAAAAATCAACAACATGGGCAACAATTGCATCACAGCCAGCTAAATCACAACCAAAATCATTAAAATTAACTAAAATGGCAGGATTAACTGGAACAACATCAAAACATTTACCACCAACAGTTGCAATGGATGCTATGTGGGATTCTCCAAAAAATAATGGTATATCAATTGGTGCTGGTGGTGCAAATAAATCAAGTACAGGTTCTTTATCTACTTCTGGTTCTGTGATTACTGTTAATCCTTCGTCAGTGTCTCCAACAGTACAACAAACATCAAATTCTGATGATCTTTATTCGCCGGTTTCGAATATGATCGAAAAATTTCCCTCTTCCGATAATGATCCACCATTACCTTCAGCTCAACCATCGCAACCAGTAGTAGTAACTAGAGAAAATTCTTGGAACAGTGCTAACAATAATGGAAACAATAATAATAGTTCACCTGAAGGTTCTGTTTCAAATTCTATGGATTCCAGACAAACTCCAATCTATCCTCCTCCTAATCAAACATCTATGCCGAACAGACATCAACAACAGCCCAAATATAATGAACATAATGGTAATCATAGTCAAATGTATCAACAACGTGGTGGTGGTGGTGGCAATAATATGGATCATAATCCACATCGTTATCCACAACAACAACAACAACAACAATCCCGGCCACCAGCAAGTAAATCTCCATTAGATAATGACATTCAATCCTTTGCCAATAATAATATTAATAACAACAATAATAATAATAATAATTCAAATCGTTATACAAATCATCAAGTTCCACCACCACCAGCAATGAGAGATCTTGAACCAGAAGATGATGATGATGATGATGATGAAAATGAAACTAATGCAAATGATATTGATGATTTAGCATATGCTTTATTGCAAAAGCTTCGTTTAGAAAATAATTATAATCCAAAAGAATTTGATGTAAATTTACGTCAAGCAAGATTTTTTATTATAAAATCATATAGTGAAGATGATATTCATCGTAGTATTAAATATTCTATTTGGTGTTCAACTGAACACGGTAACAAACGATTGGATAATGCATTTCGTCAACAAGAAGATAAAGGTCCAATTTATCTTTTCTTTTCTGTTAATCGCTCAGGTAATAATCATTTTTTTTGATAATTCATGATAATAATATATTTTTTTTTGTTGTTTTGGTTATAATCCATATAATAGGCCATTTTTGTGGAGTAGCTCAAATGATGTCATATGTTGATTATGATGCATTGGCAGGTGTTTGGTCACAAGACAAATGGAAAGGACAATTTAAAGTAAAATGGATTTATGTAAAAGATGTACCTAATGATGAGCTTAGGCATATAACATTGGAAAATAATGAAAATAAACCAGTGACAAATTCAAGAGATACACAAGAAGTGCCCTATGAACAAGGAAAAAAAGTGATGACCATCATACATAATTATAAACATGCGACATCGATTTTTGATGATTTTCTTCATTATGAAAAGAAACAAAATGAAGAAAAGGCAATGAATTCGATGCCATCATCGAATTCTTATCATCATCATCATCCACAACAACAACAACAACCGCAGCGACCAAGACCAAATTTGTCTTCACCGCCACCGGCTCATGTGAATAATTATTATGCCAATGCCCCGAAACCGATGCAATCAAATTCTCATCATCCACCACCACCACCATCATCACAAATTCGTCATGATTCAATTAATAATGGTCCATCGATGCAAAGTGGACCATATCGTGGCAATACCAATTATATTAACAAACCTCGTTCCTATCCAGATAATCGAGGTGGTATGGACAGTGGTGGTGGTGGAACACATCATCATCGTAACGATTATCATAATAATGATGTTTATTCGCAAGGGCCACCACCCCCATTACCGCCATCTTCACAAATATCGACACAGCATCGAAATAATAATTTCCGTAATAATAATAATTATGGTGGACCTAATCGAGTATCTGATTATCGTGGTCGTGATTATAATAATCGAGCTGATCAATATCATCAACGAGATACAGGTTATCGAAGTTCAGATTATTATCAACAACCACCATCGCAACGTGATTATGGTCATCAACCACCACCACCAATCAATGATTATGGAGGAAGTAGAGATTATCCTAGAGGAGGAGGCGGCGGAGCTGGAAATCATACATGGAGAAACTAGATCAATCAATCAATCAAACGAAATATTCTGCCATTCAATTCATTATTCTGGACGAAATGAAATGAAATGAAAACAAAAAAAATCATGATTACAATTTATCAATTATTATTATTATTAATTACAAACATACATTTACACACACATACACACTTTATATATAAAATATATGCGATTGATAATTGATGATGATAATGATAATGATGATGATGATGATGTGTAATGATATGCAATTCTTTCAATTCATTTATTATTATTATTAATTTTCATTTCATTGATGATAATTCGGGAGATTTCTTCTTTCTTTTTTTAACTAAAACAAATTTGTCTTTTCTTTCAATCACACACACACATACACACACTTTCTATTTCGGCTGACCATTTTGGTGGGCATTCGTTTGCATTTTCTATAAACGACGACGATGATGGCAAAATACACTTTTTAATCACTTTTTTTTAAGAAAAAACTTCTTTTTTCCTCACAAAAAATTACAAAAAAGCAAAAACACCAGCAACAACAAACTTGATGATTTATAAAATGTGTCATTCATTCATTATGAATTTTAATGAATTTTAACAAATTCACAAACATTGTCTATTATAATAATTTTAAATAATTTTTACAAATCTTATTATTATTGATCGATTAATATATTACCTGTGTTTTTATTTCGTTTATTATTATATTATTATAAAAAAAAAATCTTCCCCCCTTCAACAAAACACACACACACTTATAACAAACACAAATATTTGCTACATTTTTTTTTCTTCAAATAATAATGATTCACACACAAACACAAACAATTATTTTTCAGCATTATCAAACAAAAATGGCAAACAAACAAAACAAAGCAGAGATTTTTACAGCAAACATTTTCGTTTTGTTTTGTTCTGTTTTTTAAATAGAATTTCTACCATATTCGACAATTTAATTTAATTCCAATTTTCTTTTTCGTTTTTTTCAAGAAAAAATCCTTTCTTCCGTTTCTTCTAATAATAATAACATTTATAATATAAAAAACCCATTGCTGTTTTGTTTCTTCTGATTTTTTATTATTATTCAAAAATCAATTAGGTCCAGATAATGATAATCAGACAAATCCGGACATTTTCCACCAAAAAAAAGTATCTTTTTTCCCTTGCAAAAACAAAATTAACCATGCCTTTTTCATTTGATTAAGAAAAGCAAAAAGATTAACATTTTTTTTTCGGTATTAATATGTTGATTCGAATGACTTTTTTTTTGCCTAAATTTTTTTCTTATTAAAAAATTGATCAACATTGGTTATCAACTTTTTTTTGCCGGTGCACCTGAAGAAAAAACAAAACAAAATTAAAAGTACAAGTCATAGCTGTTTTTTCTTCTTCTTCAAAGTTTTAGTTTGTAATTGATACATTTTACCATTTACTTCTGCAGACAACAAATTGAATTATGTTACACTTTTTACTATAAAAAAAATGAATAAAAATTTTTTAAATTGAATTATTGAATTTAACTGATTTTTTTAAAAAATTCAAATAAAATAAAAGTCCTTTTCTTTTTGCTGAAAACCAAAGTTTGTCGAATCAATCTGATATAAAATTTACATTTGGTTTAAAACAACTTAATACAAATTAATGTTTTTTTTAATAGCTTTATAGCTAAATTTGGCTATAGCCATCAACCTAACCTCACTAAACTATGAATCATAGCCATCAACCTAACCTCACTGAACTAT